AAAACACTATGGGACCCTCTTTAAATCTCAATGTTTTATTACGCTGCTCTCTTTTTTCAAAAAAAAAACTTAAAAAACTTTACAATGGTGTGGCTGAAATTCACTGACAGTTACTTTTTATTAGGAGTTTCGCAAGGGCTGCCAAAAGATATATGTATTAAAAAAAAACTCTCTCCCACTCAGAACAATGGAAAACAGGCGCAAGTCGGCCTCACGAGGTCCATCTTAAGGTGGAAAGAAAGGAAAATGTTAACGTTTCGAAATGAATGAGAACAAAACTCGCTTTTTAGGAAGATTTTGCCCCTTGACAGTGGCGTAGCCCGACACCGAGCCGATCAGCACGGTCGAAGAGGAAGGTGCTCAGGCGGGACCTACATGAAGATGGGGAAGGAAGTGGAGAGATAGAGGAAGAGCGTTCCAGAGTTTCGGGGCATAGCGGCTGAAAGCGCGGGACAGGCGGGAGGCCGGAGCGGGTCAAGCTCCTTTCGCTTAGGACTGTGACAGCCATCGAAGCGAGAGAGGAGACTTTCTTCTCTCCCCCGCCCCTCCCTCCCCCTCTCATACGTGACTTCAAGACAAAGGGGTAGAAATTCCCCCAAGCTCTCGGTTTGCTCCATTTTCTGATCATTTCGGCACGGCCGAATTTTTTTGGGTGGGAAAACATGTACAAGTACAGTCTTAATTTTTTAAACCGGTTTTCTGTCAATTCTTTTAGATATAAAGTGAATTTAATTATTGCAGTGGATGCAGCCTGACATTTCGAACGCTAACAAAGTTACAGCTGAATTCTACAATTTGTCAATTTCTGGACGCGCTGAGAGGCTAAGAAAAATTGGGGGGAGTTTCGATCCAGTGGAATTTTCTCCTCTGAGCTCACAGGAGTGACAGGATAGCCCATCAATCCAGTCCCGTCAACGCCATTACAATTCATATCCAATGATCAATTGGAATAAGTTTGAAGCGAGCACGTTGGCATTTATCAGTAAATTGTTAAAATACGTCGTCCAAAGGACTTTGCAACATATTTTGTGAGACCAGTTCACCTCCCAACCCCCAATGTGGGGAAAGGAAAATCAGAGGGTGTTCAGTTTCTGGTATTAAAATAATTTAATCATTTGTGATCAGCAGCTATAAATGACATTTCCCACATATTAGTTCAAACATTTTTATATCCAATATAGCTAATTTTTTGGCAGCGAACTCTTTACTAAAATTGCTATAAGCTGTAATGCATTTATCGACCCAGCAATTTGATCCAGCTGGTAACATATAATGTAACTGATTAAAATAAGACAAGACAAATATAAGGAGCAGGGGTAGCTATCACTAATACAATTTAATCAGCTGACTTCCTATTAAATTGAATATCACATCACAATGCCAATGAAGATATTAATCGGTTCATTGAAATCATCTTGGAAACAAAAATCTATGCAATAAATTTGTGACTTTTATCCTGAGTTTGAGTTTTCAAAAATGTAACAGGATCCAACTGTACCGAGTACCACTTTGTAGATGTTTACTTATTTAATTTATTTATTAAATAGACAGTGTTTATTTATTATTAAATAAACAAGATTGATTGTACAAAGCACATTGTTTGGGATTTAATAAAACACCAAATGGACAGTGATCAGATATTTCATTCCAAACTGTTGTCATTGACCAAGTTGGCGCTGAAATAGAATCTTACATCACAGGACTAACGTTAACTGTAATAAACTATTGCCATTTAAAATGTCGGGCTGTATCCATTGCAATAATTATCCGTGTAAAGAATATGGATGAATATCTGATTTACGGCGATTACATTCAGCAGATGCTGGTGTCAGTCTGGTTTAGTCAGTGGCACAGAGTCAGAATGTTGTGCATTCGTTTCAGATTTCCAACTGGTGAGTTTTTATATCTTTTTGTATTTATCTCCACAGAACAATTCGATTTCTGGGAGAACTGGGAGTCTTGGGAGGAAAAATAACAGGGAAACCATCCAAGAAATACAGGCAAATGATACACATGCTGCAGAAAAAGTGTGGTGGTGATGTGTGGGAAGCCCACAATTTTCACAGTGCATTAACCAGCCAATTACTTGGCCAACACAGGTTCGGTGAGGTGGGGCGGGGAGGAGGAGGAGGGAAGGATGCTGGTCATTAATACACAGATCAGTCAGTTATTTAATCAATGAAGGTGCTAAACTGTGTCAAAAACTTCATGCATTGAGCAGATTTTATGCCCACCCTGGTTATTACTGGAGGATTTTTAATAAGTTGAATTTTAATGTGGGTCACTTGCAGAAACTTAGAAACATAGAAACAGGAGGAGGCCATTCAGCCCCTCGAGCCTGTTCCACCATTCTATAAGATCATGGCCGATCTGTACCTCAACTCTAATTACCTACCCTTGCTCCTTACCCCTTGATATCTATCCACCTCAGTCTTGAAAATGTGAATGGATCCATCATCAGCCTCTTGGGAGAAGAGTTCCAGATTCCCACTACCCCTTTGGGTGAAAAACTGCCGCCTGATTTCACTCTCAAATGGCCTGGCTCTAATTTTAAGATGATGCCCCCCCTTGTTCTGGAATCCGCCACCGGGGGAAATAGCTTCTAGAAGTGCCAGTCTGCCGGTTTCCTTTTCTGCGGAAAGATACACAACATTTTGTTTTAATAAAGAAGTGGAGATCCTCACTTACCTAAACGGAAATGTTTCAAGAATTGCAAAAGGGAAATAAAATAAATGGAATACAAAACAAAGGTCAATTTTTTAGCTGACAATTTATCATTAAAACATGTCACCGAGGGCAAGTGCGTTGTATGAAAAAAAACACTTTTATTGTAAGTGAAACAATCTGCATTTGTAAGCAAAACCAGCCTTGCCTTATCAAAAATCAATATATCCATTATTAAACTCATAAATGACGATCTGTTTATGAGGCATAGAAAAGTTTTCTCCAGACAACTAACTGTGCTACTACATCAATCCAGCACAAAGCAGACTTTACCTACATCTGCTTCCCTTCAGACTTCTCGTCAGGCCTTGACTTTGTTTTTGTTGTGGTGTAATAGTCGTCAAGACATTTGCACATGATGCCCCAGTGACTGGCTCTTGCCATGCATGAGCCTTTAGGTCTATTCCACACCCTTCACTAACAACAGTGACCCACCTGCATGTTACATCCTTATAACGGGATCTCTCACTCTTAAGCACGTGATGAAAATCTTAGCGTCTGTCACCCGATGGAGCACTTTGTTTTTAACCTAATACCCTGCTGATCGTACGCTCAACACAGTACAAAACACACCCTGGAGTTGTCAGAGTGAGAAATGTTATTTGAATAAAAATGTATTCTGCTCATGTGAGCCTTAATATGTAATACCAGAAATGCTGGAATCCACAGCAGGTCGATTAGAGGTTAAAGACCAGTTAATGTTTCAGACGTGACCCTTGGTTGGGTGAAGGTCGGGCTGGGGTGAGTGCTTGTGTAGGACTTTGCAGTGAAGGTCAAGAAAGCAGAGGTGTTTGGGGAAAAAAGAATTAAAAACTGATCGTGCCACAAAAAGAGGAGTATCGGACATGGTGGAATACCGTCAACACGGCACACGAGAGCGGTGAAAAAGAAGTCAAGTTCCAGGACGTCTCAGTGAAACAAACCTGGGAGAAGAAACGGACAAGAGGAAGTAAGGATTAGTCCTGTTACTGGCAAAGTTAACATCAATGTTGAGACGTGCAAAGGTGAAGGATTCCCAAGAAAAAGACTGATACGACAACAAGCAACAAATTACACTGATCTTCGTGTCATTAACCCCTGCCGTTTCCTTTTGCAGGTCTCCCCCTTCTCTTCCCCTCCTGCGAGCCACATTCCCGTTCTCTGACGGGCTTCACCTGTGATTTAAGAGCACCATCTAGCGTCTCGGGAAGGAAATACGGATTGCCGTACCTCAATGCCACCTCTTACACGTCCGTCTCATCAAACAAGAGGAATTCAGACAAAAATGGCTCTTGGCCCATTCTCCTAGAAGAGCAACCCAACTGCCTTTCTATCACAGCATCTGGACGTCTTCTGAATGAGGGTCCTGGCACCGAGTGCCTTTCTGGGATCCTATTATCTTTTGCAGTTGAACATACTGCACTTTCACACAAGTTATACTCCTATACTTGAACATGTACAGCACACCGCTACACCTCCCACACTCGCAGGACTTACACCCAGTAAAGAAGTTTCAATAGCTTGACAAGTTCCTCATATAATTCTGCAAGTAACTCCCACCCAAATGTCACACAGAGCAACTGCCTCCACAAATTAGTGGGTACTGCAGCCTGGATATGTGGCACCAAGTCTTGATTTCCTCCTGTTTCCAGCGCAATCGCAGCAAAACAAGCACAATGTACGGTACAGAATGGACATTGAAACGTAATTGTCTTAATTCAAAGGAGCTCAATGAGTGGAGCACTTTTATCTTGATTGTGTTGCTCATTAAGGTGAATTAGTGTGGGATACACATACCAGGTGCAGAGATTGATTTATTAAATCTCGTGGCTGAATATTCACAAACAGGAGTTTTGTGTTTTGAAGGTTTGGGGACTTCTCAAAGCGCATCACAGGATATACTGTAAAGTGTAGTGACAATATATTTTGTGGGTGAAACGCAGCAGCCAATTCTGCACAGCAGTGTCCCACAAACAGTTGTGGATCGAGTGACCAAATTATTATTTTTTTTTGAAGGGATTATTACTCCCGGAAAAGTGATCCCCCAATCGCGTAACAACCGGGTTCCTACTTACTGCGAGGTGAACAGAGGCGTGTGGAGTAAGGAAATATATCCAACTTTTCGCCCTGTCCAGGAATCAAACCCAGGTCCTTTTGCTTGCGAGGCGAGTGCCCTAAGCACTGAGCTACAGGAAATCCAAAACTTCTTTTAGCAACACAACTCCCTATAGACTATTCTCCCGATAGTCACCCGGTTATTAACCTGATGAACTGAAGGAAGAAAAAAAAAACACAACTTGGATTGAAATCATTTATTCATAAAAGTAAAAAATCATTTTCAAGTTACAAAAAATCATTGCATGGGTTTAAAATAAACACAGGTAAAATAAGTTTGGAAGACTTCGCAGATCCAAGAAGAGTCACATTTACTCATTTAAATAAGGACACAATTCATCGAGCTAAAGGAGGGGGGGCTACAAATCCTCCCTCTCCCCACCCCCACTCTCCTCTTTAAATGCTTTGAAAAAGAAACCTCAGGACAACACTAATAATAGTATAAGAATTCTTTAAAGACCGTCTTGGTTGTGAGAGTAGCATTGGGAAAAGGGTTTGCCTTACCGTTCCTTTGAAATTAGCACAAGTGAAGGTTTGACAAGTGTTTGATGGGACGACCAAGATTGTAATAATGTCAGCCTGACATAAGCGAGTGTGTTACTGACAATAAAGCACTCAGTTGACGAAGGTGGTGACATGGAAAGGAGAGAATAGAGAGAACAGCGACCTGGGAATGAGTCCAATTTACAGTGACCAGTTGAACATTATAAGCCACAACACTTTGGGTTGAAAAATTTATAACAAGTCACCTGAGTCCTGTGATCAGATTACACCCTCAAAATGACTCCAGGGTATTGTAGAGCATAAACAAGGTTAACCCTGGGTTTGTTTCTATGTCGGCACTGACAGCCAGAGCCACTTGAGACATTCACAAAGAAATACTAAAATGGGAAATATCCTTACTCTTAAATACAGCTCTTTCTCTCTCTATATATATATATATAACAATATATTCAATATGAAATAATGGATGCAGCACTTAAAGATTGCTGATGTGTAAGTTTTCTTATTAAAAGTGACGGTAGAGATCATAACACTGAAGAGCACTGTATAAATGTTTGAGAATCGATTCCATTGTTAATTTACAGAGCAGTATTAGAGTGTGATTTTGCCCCACTTTAACTTTTTTCTTTGTGTTTGGGGAGCATGACTGGAGAGTTGGTATATTCCACTGTTTGGTGGCTTGCGAGTGGGCAAAAGGACCCATGATTTAACTGTAACTTTACTGCATTGGAATTCCACTCATGGACACATTGAATGTGATAAGTCAGTGAGAGATGAATGTGATAGAACGGGCAGGTTTAACAACAGGAGCTGATTAAAATACACCAAGGTACAGACCAGAATATAATGGATTACACTGACTAACCTCCGCAATGGAGAAGGCTACAGCATTCTCTGCCTTGGAAATTACCCTGTCCTGTATGATCACACAGAATCAGCAGCAAGGGCCCTTTTAGGTTTATGGTAGTTTTCAAATCTTATGCTCCAACAGCCAATGGATGACTTATGACGGTTTGAGCTGGTTATGAAATTAGCACAAGGATATGCTGCCTGGTCTCTCTGGGTCCCTTGCTTCCCTTCCCTCTGACATCCAAGTTAGGTTCCCTTATAGTAGTCAAAGCTGGATGCCCCGAGGTTATTTGCAGCTAAGCCACTCTTACTCAGTCATCAACTACAGAGACTCTTTTGCAGGAGGCTTGAAAAACATGTCCAAAGAAAGCTGTCTCCTCCCTCTGTTATTCCCAAAATCTTCTTCCTGCTTCCCTTCCGGTCCACGTTTACGTTTGCTGCCCTATACAGGCATCAGAGATACAGTTAATAATATAATAATAATAATACTCCTAGCTATACCTTCCACAAGATCCAGATCATCTAAACTCCACAGCCTGGGTGCTCTCCCACACTAGGCTCCACAAACCCATCCCCCCATCCTCAGAATTGAATCAAATAAGAGGGAAAAAGGAACAAAAATAAACTTAGTTGAGGTCATACCTTGCCAGATGATTTTCGCTCTGCACTTGAGTTTTCAAATAAGCGGAATATCTGAAGATTGTGGAGACAATGAACCACTGACATGCTTCAATCAAAACACAAGCACAAACTACTAATACAAACAAAAGCTGTATTTGATACAGCACCTTATCACATTGGCAAAGCATAGGACTTACTGTAAGATGCATTTGTATGTTATACTTTACAATGTAAAGTACTCCGTTCTTTTATTTAGTTCATAATATTCATTATAAAGGTCCCCCTTGTTTGTTTCAGTTCCCCTTGATAGGGTTCAGCACACTCCTCAGCTAAACCTGCCCAGTGCTCTTACCTTTTTCATGGCCGTGGAGACAGCCGATTGATGAAGCCCGTCTTTTGTAACCCAGCGGGAGGAAGAGGAAGGAGTCTCGGTTGCCTCCTTCTTCACAGCAGCAGCATCAGGCTCTTCACTGAGGAAATGAATGTACACACGATAGGTCTGGTGAATGTGAGAAAAGATATGCACAACCTAAAGGAGCAAAGGGAGGGGGAAAAAAAACACTTTTAGATAGTATTTAAAAACAGAAGTCTCTGGGAAAACTCAGCAGGTCAGGCAGCATCTTTGGAGAGAGGAAAGTGAATTAACGTTTCGGTCATCGTCGATAATCCACGCAAATCAATTGAATACAAAACAATACTTGGTGGAGTAGTAACATATCCCCACTAGGTGTTGCTAACATGCAAATACCATAATTTCTATATTCATGGGGCTGAAGATACCAAAGATCAGGAGATTGTTATTGCAGTAATATCTTTTGCACTGATCAAAACTGCAGTATTTAGTGCTCTATTGCTGAACTAAGACATTACTCCGATTTTCTGATTCTGGATTTAGTATCTAACTAAAAGGCAATCAGAATTTTCCTCTCTGGCTGGGTATAATTTTTATAATACATTTTTTGTGAATATTGTGCTCATCGATATGGGGAGTGGGGGGGGGGGGGGGGGGGGAGGAGGGTTAGTTTGGGATGAGAAGGGTGGTGAGATTCCAGCTCTTTTGCTGTTTCTGTGCTCATCAAGGTGAAGGGTCAAGGCGTTAGGAATTAAACACTTTCCCCCCTTGAGTGGCTGTCCAGCGTCAGCTTTAAGCATCTGCCATCGCCAGGTTATTTGGATCCGGGACAGATTCGGCCGACGTGCTAAAAGCACAGATTGAAGGGAACCGAAAGACGGATGGCAAACAGAAGTATCCATTTGATTCTGCTCAGTTCTTTAGCTGTTCTCATCGACTCTTCCAAGCGCTCACCTCCCCCACGTGCTGAAGATCTGCTGGTGTGGTCGATCTCCCCAGCAAACTGTTGAGCCGATCTGAGAGGATTTGCTTTTGCTCCTTTTCGGACACCTCGGTCTCTAGGAAAGCGCAGGGGAACTCCCACATCCCAGCCAACAGCCCTGGCAATGAGACAGACACCACAAGGGGATCAGAGATCATCCCCAACACTGGTACGGTTACCCCAAAACTAGCCAAATCCTCATGGGAACTGATCATTTCTTCACCCCATTAGATACCTGAGCTTGGCCTTTGTACCAGAAAGTATTCCAAGCCCCAGCATTTGTCGGCCTCTCCACCACACAGGTCAGTGTCCTCTCCACCCGCGGGGGCTTCTTCACCGGTTTCCTGGGAAAGTTCATGACCCCAAGGCTGCCGTCCCAGCACTGACTGGCAGGGAAACATAAAGAGCAACTCCCTGCGCTGCCTGCGGGGTTAAAGCAGATACATGAATGATTAAGCACTCACAGGTGTCAGATCATGCAGAGTGAGGTTAACACAGTGTCAGCAGTGATAACAGCAAGATGCAAGTTAATGGCAGGTTCTACATAGAAGAAAGATCACTCTCGGGTTTGGCACCAAAAGCAAATCCAAAAAGCTTAGTAAGAGTTTCTTTACAGAGATGTGGTGAGAATGTGGGACTCACTGCCAGTTGCTACGGTTGAAGCAGATAATATCATCATATAGGAGAGGAAACTTGATGTATGCTCGAGGGAGAAGAGGGATATGGGAGAGGGGATTGGGAACCTCAACATGAACAAGTTGGGCCAAAACTCATCATCCCATGTGGCCCCTGAGGCAAACTAAACCATGGCAGGAAAGTATTTCCAAAAGTATTTCTTACCACACTCCTCAATATCCAGCATGGAAGGCAGTTCTGATGTTGTTTTCCCAAGAAGTTTCTTTGATGCCATTTCGAGCTCATTTGCAACCTGAAAGTTATGCTCATTTATGAAATAACCCAGGACTCCCACTTGTCTTCCTGCATTGAATCATCAGTTGCTTGCTTAATGCATAGCATTCAGCTACTACGTCCCTATCCTCTGGAACTCTCTCCCTCTACCACTCAGTCTCACCTCCTCTCTATTTGTCTTCAAAACCCACCTTAAAACCTACCTCTTCTACCGTGCCCATTGTCATCTCTGCCTTCCCCTCACTCGCTTTACATCCGACATCATCGTTAAATATTCTGAGATGTTAAGCTACTTGAAGGGCGCTATATAAATGCAAGTTGTTGTTCTTGGATAATTATTTGGAGATGACAAATTTGCAGGGCTATAGGGAGAGAGCAGGGGAGTGGGATTCATTTGGATAACTATTTTTAAAAAAGCCAGCACAGACACGATGGGCCGAATGGCCTCCTCTGTGCTGTATAATTCTATGATTCTGTTCTTTTGCATGTTAAAATCTCATCAGCTCATTAAGTTAAGAGTATGTATGAAACCTACCCTACGGTAAGCCCTGCAGTGAGGTTGTGCCGGGCACTCTGGACAAAGAGGAGCTTTGGGAGTACAAACAGTAGCACCCAGTTCCATCATGGCCTGGTTAAAGTCTCCTGGTCGAGCTGGGTCCACCAAGGTGTTGGCCAACAACCTGCAATAAAAACAACACCACAAAGAGCACAGCCTTAACACAGATGTGAGATTACGAGTAGTTCATGCCAGTGGATGAGCCAGCACCATCTTACGGTCGATGGAATGAATAGCTTCCTCCTACCCTGTGATTTAAATGATACGCTCAACTGTGATAGAGCCAGCAGGGGAAGGAGGCCAACCGAAGATTTTCAATTATTGTCCAGACAAAGGGACAGAAAGGCTTTAAATTGGAGAGTGAATCGCCCACTCCCACCTTTGTAGTTACAAGCAGAACCTGGGAGCAGGTCACACACGCTTAGCTGCAAAATTATGTAAAGAAATCTGAAAAAAAGGACAAAAAAAGGGGGCAGGCCTGCCTGATGGCCAGTGTTGCTGATACTAATGGAATGGGTTTAATCAGATGCCCACTCGTAATCTTTACACAAAGACCAAGACATGCAGCATTTGAACACACAATACACACCATGACAGATTGCTACCAGATGACAGACATCCCAATGTTAACCTGAACAATGAAGAGCTGCTGAATGCAGAACAGTAAACAAGAGGGTGGATAATGGCAGCCTGAACTGGCTCCTGTATCTCCAAGCCCAAGGCCTTCAACTCTCTTGTCTGGGGAATAGTGCAGCCTCGAGGGCAGAGGGAACAGAACAATCTAAGCAAGGGAAGGAAATAACTAGCAAATAAGGAGACTTTCTTGCCTGTCACACACATACATTAAATGTCTAGAGCAGATTACCAAAGTGCTTCGGTCACTGCTGGGCTGGTGCTGTCTGCTCCGATCCCTCTTGTCCGAGATAGCACTCTGATAACGTTCCCATCGACCACTCCAGTTACCTTTAGAATAGAAAAGGCTCGAATACACTGAAATATTCTAGGATGCAGCATGTTCACAACTCAAACAGCAAAGTCATCTGCATCAGAATACAAATTAATCGAACTCAGCATCTAAAAGCAGTTCATAAAAGTTATGCAATCCACAAACACTGCCTTTCGCCCACAAAATTGCAGTCAATCCACTTTACAGTATATTCTGAGAAGGGCTTTGAGACGTCCTCGACGAGGTGATAAGGCGCTACATCAAATGCCAGGATTATTATTAGACTTTTCTTGTTCTGTGCCCACAGATTAATTGGCAAGTTATGTTTTTAAAGGGATTTCTGTTTCTAGCGGAGGTCTTCTGCATTCAGGGATGGATAGGACCAGCAGAAAATGTTCCCCTGAACTCAAATGACGGCAAGCCATTGCTTTGCCACGTAATGCTTAATGTTCGTCACCAGGTGACGCTGTAACAAACCTCGTAACAGAATTGGGGAAATGCAGCTTCAAGAAACGGTACTTCCCCTATTTCTCTCTCTCTCTCTCTCTCTCCTCTCACCCCACCCCAACCTCTCTCCCATCTTATATCATTAAACTGTAAAACAGAAAAGAAGAAATAAAGCAGGTAGCTTCAACTGTCAATTGGTCAAACTGGGATAACTTGATCTGTTTATTTTCTGGTCAGCCGGGAGTCTGACACATGACAATATCATGCACGTATATAGCGACCTTCAACAACAACATGCCCTCCACGCTGGGTCGCTTAATAGCGTCTCAGGGCGCTTAACAGTGGCGGGAGCCTGACTTCCCTGGAAAGGGTATTAAATGTCTTAAGAATGTCAGAAAACCGAGCACATTCGGCACGTCGGGTCCACATTTTCCAGACAGTGCAAAAATCTGCCATGTCATATACTTGGCCCGAGCTACTTCCATGAATAAAAATACTTTACATGAATGGAAACAGTTCTTCCTGAACTATAAACGCAATCAGGCAAAACTACAGCACTACTGAAACTACAGTAAATGCTTCCTTCCCTCCAGACATTTCCAGCAGACCCATTAACACAGAACTCATTGTACCTCGACCTGCAAACATCCCTACGTGCTCCACATGGTTCTCAAGCAGGTACTTGTGCAGTTTTCTTTTGCAGGAGTCCATATTTCCATAGATCCTCTATTCAGTGTGTTGATGAACGAAATGTACTGATCAGGTTATTTTACTGAACAGGCAAAGGCTACATTTACCATAAAATACCACAGAACACCTTGCGGCAGCAAGAGGGCAAGACAACATGCAACAAGGTGTTAGTTTATTCTCCTGACCTGGGAGAGATGCCCAGAATGCAATCACAGTAGAATCTTCCCAGAGATGTGCTGATTCATGGTTTTCTCACCTGCCCGAATGCAATGGAAGCAACAGCACCGGCCGTGTATCTCCCGACCCCGGGCAACAGTTTCTGCAGCTCCTCTGCGCTCTTCGGCATTTCACCTTTGAATTCTGACACAACCTGTGAGGAGGACGATAATCTATTATAATCCTCCATTTTCATGTCGCTCCTTATCCCATTGTCAAAAAGCACTTCACATTTTCCACTGTGGAGCGAAGTGACTTGCGGGCACTGCAATATCTCAGAAACAGCAATGAAACAAACAACTCATGTTATCTTAGGGACTAATGGCCAAGTCAATGGGAGAAACTCCCTTCTCTTTTCAAATAGGGCCATGGGCTCTTTAATGTCCGATAGGCAGCTAGACAGGATCTCAGATTAACAACTCATCTAAATGCGGGTACCTCCAGGACTGCAGTGCCAGGCTAGACGATAATCTCAAAGTCCTGATGTGAAGCTTGAACTCACATCCTTCTGACTTTGAGGTGGGAGTGCTGCCAACTGATGCAGGATCACACCCTATATATATTCCAAGATTGTACAGAGCTGCTCAAAAACAGGTCCACCAGAATGGCCCAAAGCAACTTCAATTCTGCTTTTGAGAAAATGACTGGTCAGTACTTCCCAGAAGAAGTCCATCTAACATTGACAACTCAAATTTGGGTGATGCTTTCCATAGCAGTGAGTTTTGGCACACTTCATGATAATAATAATAATAATTCTTGCAATTGATAATGCGCCTTCTCATGTCTTTGAGACGTCTCAAAACACTTTGCAGAGTATACTGTAAAGTGTAGACTGTATATGTTGTGGGCGAAATGTCCATAAAGCTAATGGGATTTCATCACCAAGTTGCCTTGAACTTAGACCCATGGAGCATCACCCTGATGTTGCAAATCACGGGCACAATGTTCCCCGAATTCAGTGTTAAAATTCCTTCTGCTGCTGTTACCTTCTGAGCTCCTTCATGCAATCTTCTTCCTCTGGAGTAATATCCGAGTCCCGACCACATCTCATTCACTTCCTGCAGGGATAGTATGAAGGGGACGATACATTACAGAACAAAACCAGTCCCAAGCCTCACAGAGGCACCTGTGAAGACGAGAAAAGCAGATTTTTTTTCGCTCAGATTTAAAATAAGGAAGAAAGAAAAACAATAAAACCACTAAAAAGGAACATATAGGATTCCATTTGAAAACCTCTTAAGTTTTTGCATGTTAACTTTGAAAATAGAATCCCCGCAAACTACGTATTGTGTAGAAACGTAAAATGAAATTGAAGAGATCTTTGACATTTCTGAACTCATTTCTTAAATAAAATGTGTTTTCTCTCTCTCTCTCAGTCTGGAGCTGCCAATGTCAATGGGTTCACAGAAATCAATACGAAGGATGTACCTCAAGGGTGGCTTTGGAGAGATCCTGCAGAGTCGACCATCTCTGAAAGTGATAAACAACACCTCCGTGTTAGACTGTGACCTGCGCCAACCAAAACCCTTCTCAGAATGAGAATTCAAGCAGTCCATACCTGCATCCATTTATTATAGTAGTCAATCACCGTGGCGACCTGCGTTTGTTGCAACATTATTTCAGACACCCAAACTGTGACGAAGAATAAAAGAGCAAACATTTTAAAAATGTTTACCTGAATCAAGAGCGCTTGGTCTGTTTTTTTATATCTGCTAACATCGCTGCTTTAGTTTGTTGTTTCCCTGATATATAGGTTGATAGGGTGAGTTTCTGCCTTGAAAAAATACTTTGTACTCACACCTACAAACACAAGTGATGCTCTGGATCCTGTTCAAATTACAAAGAGAGTGGCTGAACAAGTCAATGGCTGAGTTACTACTCAGCATTTCTTGTGCTTTTGGGAGCAGATGGTTAGTGCAGCACTGGAAGGAGCCTTTGCACAAGAGCTGAGGAACAACTTTGTGAACAGGAAAACTGACCAACAACAACAAGATTTCATTTATAGAGCGCCTTTCACGTCGGGAGGATGTCCCAAGGCGCTGGACAGTTGGGTCGGGACCCGAGCATTGGGGGGAAATGGTGAGGGGAGGGAAGGGAGGGAGCGAGGAGGGGGGGAATGGTCAGGGTGAGGGGAGGGAGGGAGCAGAGAGTCGAGAGGGGAGCTGAAGACTGAAGGTCAAAGAGAAAGGTCTTGAGACCGGCCTTGAAGGAGGAAAGGGAGGAAGTGGCGAAGGCAATGGGGAATGGAGTTCCAGAGCACAGGCAGCAAACACAAACTCACTTGCCAACTATTTTTTTAAAAACTAAAGGGATTAAGGGAAATGGGAATAGGGCAGGTATACGGAATTAGGTTAGAAGATCAGCCATCATCTTAGTAAATGGCAGGGCAGGCTCGAGGGGCCGAATGGCCGACTCCTGATCCTATTTGTTATGTTCTTACGTAATTGTTTTCTATCAGTTGCGTTCGAAAGATGCAGAAGAAGAAGACCTTGTGTAAGAAGATGATGGAGCACGGTAGACAGACAGGGAGATGAGTGCAACCCAGCTTGCCTCACCCATGATTCTGAATGGGAGCGAATGACATTGATACCACAATAATTGAGCTCAATAAGCCCAACGCAAGTGAATACACAGTGATGGGAGAATGGGCTTAAGCGCTGCGACTCTCTTCACAGTGAGTTCCCAATCGCAGCTGGAGGAGTGGGGTGGGGCTCGGAGCAGAGAGGGACCATTAACTTGCCCACTCCGTTTAGCATGTTACACAATTACAATGGCAGAAGCTTGGGAGAATGCAAGTGCGCAAACCTGAGAAGGGAAGGCAAAATATAACCAATAATGTGGAGAAGAAATAAAATAGCCCCAATACCTGAATAAGCCCGTTTGTTCAAATCAGACACTGTTGTAACCTTAAAAAAAAAGTGGACTTTTATTAAATTTATCAAATACTGCTAAAGAACAAAAAAATTCTACTTATACAGTCAAACAAACAATCAGGGAAGTAATAATAAACTTGATCATACCAGTCTCCTCCAGGGTAAATCCCGTTTGCTTTTATCATACCACGAGAGAAGGCTCGTTCTAAAGGAATGGATTTCAGCAACATCCTTAAAGGAATGGTACCCAACCTCCAGAGGAGGTGCAGACTTCAGTAACTCTGTAAATATAATAAGGCCAGTAACAATAACACACCACAGTGTATAGGAAGCTTTACTCTACATTTAACCAGTGGCAATGAGTCGAGAATAATCAACATTGGGTAGGAGAAAAAAGTTAAGTGTTCTGACGCCCAGTACTATTACGTCTCAACTTTAAAACGTTAAATTAATAAATCCAGTGACTCTCCCCCAAAAAATATATTCCCCCACATCAACATTAACTTCTGTGTAAATTGTTCCCAAGCATCAAAACTGTCAGTAAAAATACTGGAACGTGCACTCTCTCTGGAGGGATACAGTCTCCTTATCTATTTCAGGGGAGTATGAGACACAAGGTTGGCAAGAGTTGAGGCTTTGGGGTATTTGCTGGAGTTTAATCAGCTAAAACCACATAGCGCGGCATTGAGTGCAGTCCGGCAAGATTCCCGCTGCTCGTCCACCTGGAACCACCCCCCACGTTAGGGCTTTGGCTCTCAGGGTTACCAGGAGCTGAGCGGGTCTGTCTGTGCCTCTATGTTCTGCCAATGAGCCGGTCTGTCGGTCCGGCCGGTCCGTCATCAGCAGTGCCCTGAGGTACTGGGGACCTGCTCAGGGGCTCAGGAACCAGACTCCATCCCCACATTCCAGTGCCGGGATCGTCACCTTGGAGCGGGTTCAGCTCAAACAAACCACCCGGCGCACCTTCCCCTCTCACCCCCAAAGGAGGATAATAATAATAATAACAATAATAATCTTCGCATTTGATACAGCGCCTTATCACGTCTCAAAGTTGCCGCGATATCGCTCATAAACGTTTGAACCGTTCCCACGTTTGCTCCGCCCGCAGCGCGACCTCTTGCTTCGCGGCCATTGCTCCGGGTTCTCCTTCGGCCCCCGGGTCGCCTCCCGGCCCCCGCTCCGGCCCCCGCTCCGGCCCCTCGGCCCGGTGCCCGGCCTCCTCGTGGGAATCAGCGGTGCCCACGGTTGACCCGGGGCCTCGGTCCAGACGGTCCCGCGGCGGCTCCGCAGGGATTTACTGCCAAGTGTAGTGACTGTGTGCGTCATTGGCTCCGGGTCACAGCTTCAGGTGTATTGGCTTCACGGGGTGTATTTGGGGGAGGGCTCCGGACTCAGCGTCTCATCAGATAATCAGTACCTGGAGCTTCAGCAGCTCTTTGATAGAGCTGAGGGCAGGGAGGCCGGGGAGCATGCGCAGTGTGTCCCGGGGGTCCGGGGAGCATGCGCAGTGTGTCCTGGGGAGGGGGGAGCATGCGCAGTGTGTCCCGGGGAGGGGGGAGCATGCGCAGTCTGTCCCGGGGAGGGGGGAGCATGCGCAGTGTGTCCCGGGGGGGGTCCGGGGAGCATGCGCGGTGTGTGTCCGTGGAACCGGGCCGCAGGCACTGCGCACGCGCCGCCAACCGCCGTGTCTCGAGCTCGGCTTTGACTTTCGAAACCGTTTCCCGCTCTCGCGCTCAACCGTCTGTCCTCGCGCCCCCACACCCGCCCCCCCGCCCCCCCGCGGGCTGAGGCCCCGCCCGCCCGAGACCCGGCCTCCCTCGCTCTCCCGAGGCTCCAGCGGTTGCATTGCCGGGGCCGGGCCTCCTCCAGCAGTCGGTGGGTTTGACTGGGGCCGAGCGGGCGGTCGGGCTCTGAGCAGCGGGGACTGCGGCGGGGAGAAGGGGAGGGTGGGGGCGGGGGGGGGTCTCCTCTCTCTCTCTAACAGCCCTGGGGGTGGGGTGGGGTTACACTGCAGCCACTGCTGGAGACGGAGAGGGGGGGAGTGATGGGGGAGTGTTGGTGGGGGGTTGGGGGGTGGGGGGGTGTTGGCGTGGGGGGGAGTGTTGGTGGGGTGTGGGGGGGCGTGTTGGTGGGGGTGTGGGGGGGGTTGTTGGTGGGGTGGGGGGGGTGTGGGGGGGGGGGAGTGTGGGTGGGGGGGGTGGGTGTGGGGGGGATGTTGGTGGGGTTGGGGTGGGGGGAGTGTTGGGGTGGGGGGGGTTGGGGTGGGGGGAGAGTCTCTTAAAACGAGAGTCAGAGGGTTACGGGTTTGAGCAGATTTTCCCAAACTGTTTATTTCTGATCATTTTTTTTTTCGTGTTTAATCCCCTCAACAACAACAACAAACTCCTTTACGATAATAATAATAATAATTTGCAATCACTTCAACCTTTTGTGGTGGAGACGCCGCTGAAGCGCGATTGGCTGCCGTGTTTTGCCCCCCCACACACACACACACACACACACACACAACACGCAGTCACTACATTTTACGCTGTGTCCCGTGAAGCGCTTTGAGACGTTCCGGAAGACGTGACGAGGCGCTGCGTCCAGTGCGGGGATTGTTGTCGATTACGTGGTGTTTTGTGCCGGGGGAGGGGAGACTTTTTGTTTCCTCCAATGACCGTCACCGTTGTGGGTTCTGAGATCGGGCGCCTTGGGGCGGGGGGAACGTCCTCCCGGCCCGAGAGACGCTCTGTACAAATGTTAGGTTGTATTTTCTCGGGTCCTGTTGTCATGAAAATGAGCAGAAATCAAAAGGAGACTTTAATACTGTCGTCCGATGATCGGTCGGCACTGAGTTTTGGGTCACGGGAAGAGAAGGATTGATTTAAAACAACTACTCCTTACAGTGATGTAATATCCCTTTGCAATAAATGCACTTTGTCAGAGATCAGATATTTTTATACATAATACTGTGTATATATATTGTCCTATGTGCAGGGCGCTATATAAATGTGTCAGTGGTATAAAAATCCTTTATTCCCACGTTTGTGACCTAAATACAGTATTTGCTCTGTTTGTTTAGGGTGTGGAAGGCTGAAATGAAGTGTACCTAAGCTTTACGGACGCTCCTCTATCGAAGATAATTTGGTAAAGATGTCCTTTATGAAGGTGCCTGTTGTTGATGTCCATATTGACAATTTTAAGGAGATCTGGCCATCCCTGCTGCTTGCAGTGAGAACAGCAAATTTCATAGCAATCGACACTGTGAGTACCACATCTGTTGCTTCTTTAATTTTTTAATTATTTTAAAATGGGAAACATTTTGACTATTTTTGTCCTCGCAGGAACTGAGTGGACTCGGAACTCGGAAAGCTTTGCTGGCACAGTGAGTAATCATTATAACACTTGCATTGGTATAGCATCCTATTGCGTCTTTGAGACGTCTCAAAGCACTTCACAAAGTACACTGTAAAGTGAATTGACACTATTTTCATGGGTGACACACGGCAGCCAATTGCAAACAGCAGTGTCCCACAAAAGTCATGGATTGAGTGGATTTTTTCAAATACTTTTTTTGAAGGGACTCTGTCATCTTCTAATTAGCCACCGAGCAGGACACATTTCCTTATTTCTGGCCCTTTATGTAATGAAGCATCAACCCTCTGCTCACTGCAGAAATTAGGAAATTGCAAGTTTTCCCCACAGTATTTTTGAACAGCGAAATAAACGTAATGTGTTGATGGCAATCAGAGAAATCCCATTGGAGCTCATCATCATCTTAGTGAGAGCTGTCTCTTTCTAACTTTTGGTAATGGTTTTGTGGCCAAAACAGGGACTGTTGAGTCGGAGAAAGACGCAACTATTTTGAAAACAGATTAATACAGTGCTGGAAATGGGCATACTACAGACTGGATTTTATTGGCTGACTATACATTTGTTTAACCACTGAGTTAGCAAATCACCTTTTTTTAGGAAAGTGAGAAATTTCTAGGATTAAGTTATTTTCTCCTTCCATATCTGTGCTGTATTTCTACTTGTAGAATGGTCAGTTTGTATTTCCTTTGGTATCTAACAGGTCAGTTGAAGACCGTTACAATGCAATATGCCAAGCTGCCAGAACACGATCTATTCTTTCTCTGGGGATAGCGTGTTTCAAGAAACTGCCAGATAAAGTAAGAGCATTTTACACCTCGTTTACTTTAAACCACTTGAAAGGGTGCTGACAAATTTTCATACTTGTGCTTGGATTTTTAATTTCTTTTTACCAGCTCAATTTGCCTTCAGCAAAAGAGGATGTGCCAGTTCAGACCTGCCTGCTTTTCAGTGGCAGCCACTACTGCAAGAATCTAGCCTGCCTTTGGATCTTTGTCTGAATTTTCAAGCACCATTGACGAAGTGACTGGAGAATGACTTAGAGTAATAATAGTCCTTGCATTTGATATATTGCCTTATCACATCTTCGAGACGTCTCAAAGCTCTTCACAGAATATACTGTAAAGTGAATTGACTGTATATTTTGTGGGCAAAACGTGGCAGGCAAATGCACGCACTATTCTGTGTGCACCTTTGTCACTTTTCCACGTGAGGAACCATCCAAGCCCTAATCGGCACAGCTAAAATTGTGAACTTAAATTTGTTGGATGTGAATGCACCCAGTACCAATTCATGGCCCACCCCAGGCTCTGAAAGGATGCTTCAGGATATGTGGTTATAGTATTCTGTATTATTGTAATTGTTTAATCTTAGCGGTAACTATTTTCAGGAGGATGAAGCTTACCTGTGCCAGGTGTACAACCTTATCCTGCTTTGCATGGATGAATATATAATTGAGCCTCAATCTGTTCAGTTCCTGGTTCAGCATGGATTTGATTTCAATAAGCAATATGCCAAGGGAATTCCATACCACAAAGGCAATGACAAGGTAACTGCTCACTTGGCATCTTAAAAGCATGGATTATGTAATAATTGTTGCACCTGATATCATGGCTCTAATATTGATGGGCTGAATGGCCTTCTGTGCTGTAAATTTCTATGAAACTTCTCAGCGCTTCACAGCTAATAATGTAAAACATTTTTCCTCTAATCCTACTTTCCCATCGCCATTGTTGATTTCAAAATCATTCATTATAAAAGGTGTGGGGGTGCGGTGTCACTTGCTTTCTTTTTCATACTTGACTGGTTTGCTTTTAGTTGCTCTTTGTTGCTGTCCTTGTTAAGATTTCCTTTTCCTGAAGTGTTTGCAGATCATTTTGAATCTGAGATTCCTGAATTGTTAGCAACATGAAGGATTTCTAATTTAACTTGGGTGAAATTAATGTCAATGTCATAAATCTTTGATGTTTTCTCCACAGAGTAATGAAAGTCAGGGGCAGAATATTCGAGCACTCTTCCTAGAAATTATTCAATCAAAGAAGCCTTTAATTCTTCACAATGGGCTGATTGACTTGGCATTCCTATACCAGTGCTTTTATGCACACTTACCCAACCAACTCCTGACCTTCACAGCTGACTTGTCTGAGATGTTTCCAGCTGGGATTTATGATACTAAATATGCCTCAGAGTTTGAGACTCGCTTTGTGGCTTCCTACCTGGAGTACGCTTACAAAAAGTGGTATGTAGCCTCAACCTGTCGTTACTTCTGACTTGGAAGAAATTATGCTTCATGTAAAGTACTAGAAAGAAAAATGGAAGAGAGATTGTGGAATAGGATGAAATATATCCAGAATAAACTGGAAAAATAATTGCTTTTAGAAAATGTAAAATCTGAGTTAGCCATATTGTATTTTGCTAAATCACAATAAACATAATTGACTTCTGATTTGGCTATTCCAATTGCATTTAACCGTTAATTTTGATTTTCAGGCCATGCCCTCTTGTAATGAATCCCATGTGCTCTGTTAGTTGCTGATGCAGCATTATAATAGGATGATTCCATGTCCAATGCCGAAGAGGTAATGGACAATTTTTTTTACCATCATTAAGATACTAATGCTAAATTGCTGTTGAACTTAAATTTTTCAGCAGACGAGAGAATACCAGACTACTTGACATGAAGAGCAGACATCTCTCCATTGAGTTCCTTAACTATCAACAGACGATTGCCAATTATATTGACTATCGGTACTGCTCCCTCCCAGACAGTGAAAAAGACATTACAGACAAAACTAAACTGGGAATCTGTGAGAAGTTTTCTGTAAGTACATCTAGTATCAAACTAGTTAACTAAGCAAATCTGTTTTAATTTTTTTTTAAAAAAAAACTTCTGGCAGAGCAGAGGCCTTGGTCTCAGCTCTCTCTTTGGGTGAGAACCAGCAGCCACTATCGGTGCTCTCAATATGCTACTCTACTCATTTAAACAATATTGGGATACCAATGTTGATACTGACATTTAGTAACTAGCTTTCCATGTGTTTTTCAAAGGCTTATGGCTGGTGTCCAAATGGAATAAAATGCCCCTTGTCTCACAATACTGACCTTATCATCGATGAGGATGAACGGATTAAAGATGATAAAAGAAAGAGAAGGAAAGCCAGGAAAAGACGGAAGCAGAATGCAATGGAAGTGACCAGCAACCCGCCAGAATCCACACCCGGAGACCATGCGGCTCCTGATATCAGCCCACCCTGTAAAGTGGTGTGTCAGAATTCTGATGAGCAACCAGAGACTACTGAGATGCCGGATGCTGGAGAGGCAATGCACAACGAATCCTTAAATTCCTCAAAGGGCTGTTCAGATCAGAAAGAAATGGAAGAAACTCCAGATGTAAGGGAAGTTAAGGCAGAGTCATTTGGTGACTTACATCATGGTGATGGAATGGAGGGGATATCTTGGAGTGACTCAGATCGAATGCCAAACTCTTCAAATGATATGGAAAACAAAACTGAGAAAAAATGCAGGAAACTCGAAATCGAGGAAAAGACCAAAGCGGAAAAAGCTGAGGGTGGCACTCACCGTGCAGGGTTCGATGCTTTTATGACTGGGTTTATAATGGCCTACACCCTGATGTGGAAAAAGGGTGACAGCGAGCACGATAGTGACTGTGACGGTACTAAGATAGATATGTGGTTACCTGACCTCCTGAATAAACTATATCTGAGTGGAAAGAGCATTCCCTTGCAGATTTGCAAGAGCTCTTTTTCAAAATCCTCCAAAGCCCATCAAGCCAAGATTGAATTGGCTTGGGGGAAAAAATGAAAATAAAACATTTTTTAAATAAACATTTATTTGAAACATTGTCTTAATGTTGACCTGTACGACAGTTGTTCCCAATTATAGAATTAAGACAATGGAATGTTTAAACAATTTGAAAAAANGGTTATCTCACAAGCAGTCTTCCAGGTTTATTATTTAGTCTTTCACCTTATGGCGGTTTTGACAGATTTTAGTATTTAACAGCATCTTTCAAAACAAAAACACCAACACAAATTGGTTCTCAAATTATGGTTTTATTACAGAGGTCTGAATATTAAGACATTTAGCAAAAAAATCATAAATAAGAAAATAGATCTACTTTCATCAACATCCGCTTTTTTTCTTCAATTTCCTGTCACAAAAATTGGAAAACATTTTTGCATAGAATGTAGTGACACAATGCAAAGGCTTTTTTGTTAGAAGTGCAAATGACCTGGTTATTCAACGTGTCTGAAACTGCAAACTGGCAAAAATATCACTACAAATTAAATGGTAAAGCTATAACAAGCTTGAAAAGGTAACTAAAAATCTGCCATATTTAAGGAAATCACTCCAGACTCACAGTTTTAAACAAAAGTTTGTTGTAAATATTGTTCCCAAATAGCTCATAACTGTTTGTTTACTCGGTGTATGGTGAGACAGTAGTCGATCCTGGGCTTGTACAGAGCAATGCTGTGGGACACTCCAATGCCACCATTTACATTATATTTAAGAGGATATAGTCACACCCTGAAACAGATCAACCCACCCAAGTACTGTGATTTGTACTGCAGACTCATTATATACTTTGCCAAAAATGTTTTCCTATAAAATTATCAAAACAAAATGTTTTCTTGGATTCATGTTTTGTTTTAAAAACAATATAAAAAGGTCTGCCTAGGTCCCTTTAAAGCAACTCTTCTTTTTCCTATAACAATAAAGAATGCAAATTTTCAACAAAAAAATCCTGATGGATTTTTAAGACACAACTGAACATTGATGGGGGAGAAAATTGAGTGGAAATGTAATTTTAAACAGCTGTTTAATAGCTGATAGATACAGGAAAAAAATCTATGCATCAGTTAAATTGAATTCCTTCATCTCAAACTTAAGTGGTTAGATGAAGTTCTTAGCACTGATACTATATGCCAGAATGTTTGCCGGTATAGATGCCTGGTACCATTTTCAGATGGTACATCAATCATTCAGAAAGTGTCACAATATATCACAATATTCCAGAAAAATAATTTACTTTTACTAAAAATGTAACCATCTCTGTCAACAGTTTAAAAACACTTCTACGAATCAATTTTCTATTATGGTATCACAGTTCCAACAGATTGTAATTTACAGATTCAGCCAATATTATTAAATTTCTACTGCTGTAGTAATCTTACAGTTTGCAATAGTAAAAATGTACCAACCAACAAAATTAAAATTGTACAAGAATTTTCTATATTCATTACAAAAATAGACTTTTTTTCTCTAAATTTCAAGCAGGCTTAAAATACCTACAGATAAAACCCAACATGTATGTTTCAACTATTTGTGACTACGTTTGTACAACACATTAATTCAATGATTGAGTTTACTAACCTAAATAGGAATTCCAAGCACGAGATCAAGCTCTTTTTGTGCATTCTTCAGAACAGATTTGGTTTGCTTCACATCTTCCAATGGATATTAAATACCTTTACAGTTTTGTTGCTGGTGGGTGACATATTGCTTAGTACTGTATTTTTTATAACTACAATTTATTCATTTTGAGAGGCCCGGATAGTTGAATAATCCACTGAACAAAATGTTTTAAGGGTCTATCTACAAACCTACCCGGAAACTCCAGCCTCCAAACAACTTCTATTTATATGTACTGTGGAATATACAATAACCTAGTTAATGGCAGTAAATCAGTTTTATTATTTCACCTACGTACATTTAAAAAAAAACTCAAAAGTCAATGTCTTTAGGTTACTGACAGTATTCCAGTACTTGTTTGGAGTCCTTTGGTAACTAGGAAATGAAAGACTGCAGATGAGAATACATCAAAGTTATAGCTTCCAACAGACACCTTTTTTAAAAAAANTGTGATGCAAAATGGGGCTTTACTAATTAATTAGGAGAATGTCTGTCGATAGGCTTCCTGAAACTGGGAGATTCATTCACTAACAGATCCATTTCAGCTAATAGCAAACTGGCTCGAAATCTGATGCCAAAATGCTAATAATTTCACTGTAAAAGAAAGGTTACTCTCATAAGTGAGAAACATTGCATGGCAGACTCAATTTTATTATTTCAGGTGAAATTATAAAAGTTACTGATTTTCAAAGATGTTTAAAAAAAAGGATGCTGAAGCACTTTAATCAGTAGTTGAAACCAAACGTTTCTCCTTAAAAGTTGTTAGCAAGTATGAGCTGATCCAAGGATTGGCCCAAACTGTAAGCACTAAATGTGGTATATCCCCCTGTGAAATTTACAATGGGAGGTTGAAGGTAGGAACTAAATCCTCCCAAGCAGTGATACTTAAACCCGATAGCAAATGGAAACAGTAAATACACATCTTCTCCTAACATAATTGTAAAATATACAGATATATTTGAATTATAAAAAGCCCACTTACTAGTGACTGTCTTGTGACAACACACTTAATGATCCGAATTTAGTTCCAAAGCACGATTTCAGATCCACTAAAGTAAAAACAAACCCTCCGCAATGATGACACACAACTTGAATTCAAACAATCCCTTCATTAAATCCCAGAAATTTTTTTAAAAAATCAAAATCTACACCTTAATTTTATTGCTCTTCAATTGCCAATTGAACTATTTTACCAACTGTCACCTTTGTTTCTGAAGAAAAACAAATCATATCGAAGTACATCATAAGTGCAGCAGCTCACTATTATCTCTTAAACTGTCAACATTCCTATAATTGAATGGAAATAGCCAATATAGCTTTATAGTAACTACAGAAGCAGGAAGCAATCTTCATATTTGCAAAATATCAAACTATTGCTCGCTAGTACCAGTTGGGGCAAACAAATTGACAAATTGAAGTAAAAGTGGCAGTGACTGAAAACTACAATATACAAACACACTTAGGCCCAATTCCTTAACTGCATGAAACACTAGGAGTGAGAAAAAACATATTATGCTTCTCCTCCCAAACCTTCTCTGTATCCACATATTTTGTCAACACTGTTAGACAGAATTAAGAATTATAGCAGTGTAGATACAACCGAGTGAATGTTCCTTTGCTACAAAGCAGTACATCCCATGAGAATCATACATTAGCTAATGCATTACTCCATGTGAGAACTCCAGGGTTGGGTGGGGGAGAGAGAAGAGAACCTGAATCCCCTTCTGCATTTCTTAATAGCCAATTAATTACAGGCCAATGGAGCCAGAGTCCTGGAAGCAGGCTAAGCTGATGATGGCACTGGGCACAAGGGGAATACAGGACAGATAGTAAAAAAAAAACACAAAAACATGTAATCCACAGCATTAAAAGGAAATTCCAACATTTCATATTGGAACAATTTGGTACAATTAAAGCTCTTAATTAACCTGAAAATCATTACTTACAATAAATCAACAGATGGTGCACACCTCCCTCAGTTTACAGCTGTGTGCAAATCAAAATAACTTTCTAAGCAATGTTTAGCTAGTCACTGAGAAGCATCTACAAATCTGACAGTTTATGTTTTGCACTGGATCAAGATACCAAACACGTATGAAATGCTGAACTTTGCTTAATTCTAAACATTGGCCGATCACAGTGAACTGGGAATGATTTAGAATTTACTCACACCTTCAAATTAAATAGGGACTCCAAAAAATCACTCATTTGCGTCTTAAAAGAAAATATTGTTTTAAATGAGAAATTACAGCGCCTGTTTCCTGGCTGTTCAAATAGGGCAATCAGAGAAGGAATCACCTTCCCTTTTGACATTACTAGTGAATGATCTGAACTGGATAAATTCAGAGTAATTCATAGTACGTTGGTACTTCCCTATCACACTATGATGTTTGAAGCTACAAGGAAGACTGTTCTGAACTTATGAAAACCAATTATAAGAAAAGCAAGTTGATATAATGAAACATTGCCTTTTTCCATATACAGTGCATTGTAAGTTTGTTCATGCTACCAAATGTTTTTAAAATATATAAAAGGTTTTAAGCCAGTGTCTCTTCAACAGCCCAAAGTAAGCTCTATGAATCTAGGTAAGCATGGCAGCCATTAGATAGTAATTCCTTCCTTTCCCTGAAGAACGAGGCTTAAGAATTTGGGATGCAACAATGTTTTTCATTGCACACATTTATCATAAACCAAAATAGTAAAGTAAAAATTGCAAGGGGTATCTGAAATGAATTAGTTTCCATCCTCTCAGTCCCTTTACACATTAATGCCCAGCTCCCATTTTAGGAATGTAAATTAAGAAATCCATAATTTTAAAGTTCTGAAACCAAAACACTTATGTTCAAACTTAAAAAGCATTGCACTTTTGCATTAAAACTACATGAATCTCCAGGAGCAAACTGTTCAAAGATGGCAATTAATTCAAGTGCAAAACAATGCAGCTGACTTACATCTCTGGAGTATATACACCGTAAATTGAGTAAGCTATATACGCATCATAATGCACAACCCCAATACTTGAGATCCAGGCAAGCAGTGTTTGTTATGAAGGGTCAATTTCACAAATCTAGTATCTCGCATTGATAGTGTATTTAAATGTATGTATCTTTTACAAAACTGTACACATGTATAAAATAGCACATCTTTGTATCTTACATGTCAGTCTGAATTTACATTGTACAGGGAGACCCTGTAACATGATCTGGATCCACAAGTTCAGACTCCGTGTGTTAAATGAAGCACAAAAAAATTAGATAAGTCTTCCAGGACATCAAATTTCTATTAATAGTGCAGGAAGTGAGATCAGCTCAACGATCTTGGAAGAGACTCGTAAAAAAAANCGTTGATAGACGGGTATAATGCACTTTCAGTATTGCATGGGTCCACAGTATAACTGACCCCCCAGTAAACTGGAGCACTTTGTTGGGTACCCTATTGGGTATGTATGCACTATATTCAAATAATATGCAACATCAGGATAAATTATTGTATAATACAAAGAGTATGTTTTGGGCACCAGTTGGTATAAACTATTGCTTTGCAGTCAGTGATAGATTTTAGATAATACAGCACGTAAATATAAATGGAACAGGATGTCACGCATACCCTCTACACGTTATGAAAGAGGAAAAATCTGGTGAATGCAGATGCTTCCATTTACAGGAGTTTCCCCCTCCTTCAAACAGTAGAAGCCCTTGTCAGGTTCAAAACAATGATTTTCAACTTTTATTTTCAGCTTCAAAAATATTTGCAAAAAGCATTCCTTCAGAAAGTCAGCCAGAAGGCAAAATGACAGTCGTTCAAGTATTATCAGCAATACCACGGTATTATGTGACATTCTGTGCTAAATGGCTTTCTAACATTTTTATAATTGCTGCAATATTTAAGATTGTGCAGGGTTCAATTGAGTGTATCAGCAGGAACTGTGAGTATCCCCAGATTTACAAAGTTGGCAAATTGGAGCAGAAAATCACTTGGCCAGTTTCCACTTTGGTCCTAGATTGTATTACCCATGCTTCTCAAGATCTCTCATCATGAATAAAATGGGTAAAATATGGGGCAATTTGAAACAGGATTCCTCAACAAGAAAACAAAATGTACATCGGGCCGACCTCCAGGAACTATGTTTGAAGCAGTCCACAGGGTGGGGTGATGTATTTTGTTATGTCACATTAACCCAAACTACACAGATTCCCTCAGAAATCACCGCCACCAGTTAATCCAGCCAGAGACTTGTTCACTGTGGTACACGAGCTGTGCACCTCTACAGAGTTCATGTAAACTAATTGCACATTATGAATGGTTTAGGCAAATAGGAAACTGAACCATATTCATTACTCTTTAAAGAGTAATGAATAATGTTAATTTTGTAGGGTACAATTTGAGAATTGGACTGAAATTTGTGCAAATCTTTATTGGTTTAAAACATATTTAACGCAATGGAAATAATGTGTCTAATTTCTACAGAATGATCAACACTTTGGAGCTTTAACTAGTCTCTCTAGTTAGAATTTTTGATAAGTAAGTAGATGAATAAAGGACAGCTACATTTCTTTAGCTCAGAATCAAAAATAACGAGTTAGACAAAGCTGAACAAAATATGCCAGGTGTAAACCAAAGTTGTTTTTAAGATCAATAAACATAGACAATCAATGGTACCAGATACCCTTGACAAACTCATCAATTAACCCCATCATGCCTGTCAAGAATGGTTTAGTTTATAAAATATTAAGTCTGTATCTCCGATACAATTCAATGGTTAACATTGGGCATCTCATTGAAATGAGCTTCCTTCCAACCTACCCGTTTAACATGGTCTTTTTTTTAATTCTGACCAAAAGCCCTAATTGAAACAGAGTATAAAAGAATATTTATTGTACAATCTTTAATAAACAGAAGATCTGTGGAAAAAGTATTGTATAAACACCGTTGTCTTCTCTTTCAATGGCGCAGCAAGTTTATTCAGTGAGCAATAGTGCATTATGAAGCAAGAAGGCACTAAGTCTGTGCCGAATTTGCCCAATCAGCCAGGGCAGTAATGGGATGCAAGATTTGGTCTTGGTGTTCTGGTTTGAAGGGGGTGGGGAGAATCATCAAAGATTCCTACTTTGGATCACCTGTTGGAATATATACACATGGGCATCAAAATTATGTTTGGCAGCAATGGCTTTGTGATTGAAGAGCCGAGGATCATTAACAAGATTCATACAAACAATGGCCATTTGGGAAATGTACGAGAAGACGGCCAGCGCCTGTGTAACTGTAACCCAGTAAAAGAGGCGGAAAAAGTCAAATGCCTCCAGAAGGGAAGGGAGAAAATAGTTGATGAAAAGGTAGCCCTACAAAAAAAATAATGAAATGCCTTGGAGATGCCAGTGTCAGAAAATAAGGAAATGCGAGACCCACGAAACTGTTCCATTTTCATGTACTTAGTAGCATGGAAGATACATGGATTTCTGCTTTACTCAACACTTGTGATGCACTGAGGAAGGGAACGGGGAGAAGGTGGTATTGGGGTATGTGGGAGGAAGGGAGGGAAGTGATTATGAAGTACAATGTATATTTTCAAATAAAAAAACCTTCATGTTAATCCTGTGGGTTGTTCTACCATGAATTTTAAAATACATGGTATCCCACAGTTAATAGTAGTCCTGCCTGAAATATAGAAACATACAGCAGTAACATCTTCCAGACTGACAGAACTTAAAAGGAAAGTGATCTTCTTGTACAAAAACCTTGTCGTTCCACCTCTTCATCTTCTGCAAACTTTATAAAAAAAAATATCCTTATGTGGCCAAAGACAATGCCACATTCAACATCATCAATAGTTTATTATGTACTGGTACCATGGGACATGCAGGCTATTCTTACAATAAGAGCACATCTCCAATATAGTGATGTCGCCTTGAACAATTGTGGATGAAAAAACAGTATGTTGAAAGAACCTCAAAATACAAATGGTTACAAAGCAAAAGGGCCTTTTCAGCGGTGGGGGGGGGGGGGGGGGGGGGGGGTGTCCCACATTTGGAAAGATAAAGACATATAACTTTTCCCTAAAACTTTAGAGTGAGTGTCACAAGTTAAATCAAAAATGAATGATAACTTAATGTCAAAATTAAAAGACTGCTTTTTAAATCAATTTATTGCATCCACATTCACAAATAGCCTATTTAAAGCATATTAAATTCAATAGTTAGTGATTAGGTATAAATACTGCAGGGCACCAGTGAAAATACTGCATTGCAAGGTGAGAAGTGCCTCAGTTTCATTATCGAATTACTGCCAGTTTTATAAATTATGTGATTTAAATTGACTTCCAGGGTTACAAAATAAAGAATTTATGCGATTCAATGTGACCGTTTTAGTGCTGGTCTATCCCTACATCTCAAACCGAATCATGTCAGAATGGGCTGACAGCCATGGTACCAGCATTTTAACTTTACAATTCGACAGTCTTCATCTGCCTGGAACCTTTATGACGGATTAACATTACAAAATAAAAATAGCTCTCATATTATATTAGGCAAAAATAGCCACTATATGAAATCTCTCTGTACAATACTCATACGTTCAGGCCTTTTAAATATCACATTTTGACTGAAGGTGACCTGGATTTGAAGTTGTGCATTGAGCCACCACTAAAGAGGCATAGCCCTCCATGTCACACACCTCAGCAGGCAACACAGAACAGCTGCTGGGTCCCGTTTCACCATCTTGTTTCAGTGCAATACTAACATTGACTGATGACATGGACTCTGGTAAAGCAAGTTTGGACATGTCTCTCTGAATCTCTTCTTCTTCCATTTCATCACCAAAAACTGCATTTTGACAGTTATTCAACGAGGTACCATCTGAATTTGACCCATTACCTCGAGGTGTGCTATTACAATTCCAACTCTGGGGCTCATAGTTACCCACACTGCCACTGTTCTGTGAATTTTCTGTTGGTGTCCTCTCATCTGAACATGGGTCCTCACTCTCCGAGCAGTCCATAGCTTCAAAGTGTTCCAATGATGAAGTGGATTCCTGGCTTTGAACTTTGGGCTTAAACGGTGGAATCTCCAACACAGAAAACCTCGAGCTGCTCAACACTTTTTGCCTCACTTCATTTCCAAGCTGCATAGGATCACACTTCCCAATGGTAGATGAAAGGGGCCCAAACATATGACATTCTTTTGGTGGAAGGTCTGGTGACACAGGAAGGGACCGACATTTTCGACCAAAGAGAAAAGATTCATGCAAGTCCCCAGTGTAGTTTTGTTTGGCATGTAATATTGAAGGAATTTGGGAGTCCACTGTATCAGGTGATGGCAAGTCAAATGTAAGAGATATCACAGACTTACTTGGTGTGTCCACAAACTTTATCTTCCCACCTTTTAGGTCCTCCCTTGCGGTAAAAGGGTTAATCTTACGCAACGTTCCTTTGTTTGGGGTATAGTATGGATCAAGAACATTAATCTTTCGACTACCTTTTCGGGTGAAGAAGTCCGACTGACTTCGAGAGAGCCAGATATTCCGTCGAGGGCGAGGCGATTTAGGAGATATATTGTCACCCGGAATGCCTAAAGGGCTGGACCGTTTTATGGCTTGTCCCTTCTCTCCCATGGCTGCAAACAACAATATTATTAACCTCAAATTAGACTCAAAACCATGTTAAGCTATTGTGTTCGTTTAACATTTAACTTTGCTTCAATGACTGCAAAGTCCATATTGCCATGCAGATGGGTTCATCCAAAAAGACACTAGATGGCAGCATAGCTATTGCACTTACTGAACCAATTGACAGCTTACTGCTCATTTGTGAAATATAAAACAAACAAGTCATTGAAGTTCAAAAGGCAACTCCCAGATTATTGCCCTTTGGACTGCCAGCAGGTGAAAGGAAATTGCAATCTCCATTGTTTTGCTTTGAATAAAACTCATGTTACATATTATGCAGATGATCCATTTTAGGCTTTGTTTTTAGGTTTCATATAGTTCACAAATACAGTGCACTTATATGGTGCCTCTCAAGCAGCGTAGCATCCCACAGCGCTGTAGGTTTAAATACATCTTTTACGGCTTATTTTAGCACAAACCCAGAAACTGAAGACAAGGTGATTTTTCAAGCTTTGATCTGCAACAATTTCTTTCTATAACGAAATATCTTATTTACCACACAGGACATAAAAGTGATCGTTTTACTCAGTCACTAGCAGCCAGATAGTTTATTAAATCATCCCCAACCAACAAAATAATATTTTAACAATTTATGGCAAACTGCAGCTGAAATCCCAACTTGATGGAAACGGGATTCCAAAACCTCTTCACATGGAATATCACTGAGAAATGCTGCATATAAAACCAACTTCCAAATAAATTTAAACTAAAAAGCTGTAGGGAATTTTCCTCCTAAACAATTTATAATTGATTGGCACTGCCTTTTCATATATAAAAAAATAACTGGTGGTGTGATTCCTAGAACTTTGCTCCATAAAATTATTCAGATAAAAGTTGAAATAAAAGTCAGGCAATGCTTCTGTCACTGAATAATCTTGATATATCTATTAAAATGACTGCAGCTGACAGACTGCATGACTTGCACGATCTTGGTGCTTTAGCCTGCTTTGCTCTCATCATTGCTGGGAGATATGAGGCTGGGAAAAAATGCACAAAGTCAGTAAGACCTTCAAGGGCCACTGTAAATGTCTGACCAAATTTTAAGAACAAAATCTTCAAAACAAAGTGTGTAATCCATCGATGTAATGTACAATTCCTCCCACCCCCATCCCTTCCATTGTTCTCCTCCTCCAGTATCAGGTTCCACTCCCAAAGAAAGTTAGATTATGATCACAGTAATCAGCAAACTAGATATTTGGTAAACATTGGTATCTATCTGATAGTGTCATAATTGAAAGGTTACCCGCTTACCTTTCTGAAGATTAATAGTCTTTCTCTCAATGCCTTCTGCACTGCTCAGGTGCCTCTCTGGTCCCTCCTCTTGTAGATGGTGTGTGATGCCCTCCAAAGTTTTTACTATGTCTGCAAAGGAAGGTCGGAGCTTGGGATCCACCTAAGCAGAAAGATAAAATCATTCTTAAAATTCTCTAAAACCCCAACAGAAAAGCCCCAATAAAAAAAAACTTTAATTGGTAAAAGAATCTGAACTTTAATGTATAATGCCATATTGTTTTACTTTTAGCCTATATTTAACCCTGTTTCAGGACATGACCACGGTTGCTGCCATCATAAGCATTAGATGCTCTATGTCTCCCGCCGACCATCGGTGGCCGGGTTTTCAGCCTCTCTGCCCCCACACTCTGGAACTCCATCCCACTGTCCCTTCGCTTCCTCCCTTGACTCCTTCAAGGTCGGTCTCAAAATCCTTCTCTTCGACCGTGCCTTTGGTCTCCCTCCCATCTCTCTGCCTTCCCTCACCCCTCCCCCAAGCTCAGGCCCTGACACCTGACTGTTCAGCGCTTTGGGACGTTCTCCCGACGGGAAAGGCGCTCTATAAATGTCATTTTGTTGTTGTTGTTACACGTGTGCGTTATTGTGTCAAATTCTCAATAGCTTAATACAGAAATCTTGTTATTTATGAATGAACTCAGTTATGCATCATTGCAAATTATAAATAGTTTTGATGAAGACAATGTTACATTAGTAAACACATTCCCATCTCTCACTGACTGTGCCATTTGTGTCCTGGTACACTGCTCTGCACAAACCAAAACACAGTAAAATGTGGCAAGATTAACAAATTAAGCATTAAAATAAACCACTTTACCATTAGTAGTAATCTTTCATTTTACCACTAACGAAAGTATCATAATAAAATTCTGCATCTGATGAAAGATAATTAGGAGGTTGATGAATACTCTTCTCTTGCTCTTCACAATCAATGCCCATAGTTATTTTGGATTGTAAGTTTTATTTGAATAGTGACATTTCCACACATTTAATATCTTCATTGTTGTGAACCAGCACCAATATTATATATCATGGATTTTATCTCATTAGTTGATCAGAATATGTTCAAAAAACGGGTACATTATCAATTTTCAATGAGTAATAAACTTAATTTTCATCAAGTTATAATGTCATCTTTAATATCAATCAGATCACACAGTAAAAGTAGTCATAAAATACTTTGTGATGAAGGACAAAGGGCATATGATTGAGTTTTAGGTTACAGGTTCTGGCGTAATGAGCACATTGCATTGAGTCGTTGTTGCCCAATGCATTTACCAACAAAATCCCCAAGGCAAAATTTGCCAGCGCTATCTGATCAGTTAAACACAGTAACAAGCCTGTGCTGGCTTTCAGATGGTGTAAGTTGTCTTGCTCATCCACAGGAATATCTGGAGTTATTATAAATTCTAACAGCTGCAGGGTCACTCTGGCACATTTTACTCACATTGCAACAGTTGAAGGCAAGTTGCAGGAAGTCAGGTGGGCAATCTCCTACCATGTGTTGAAATGCATCATAATCCAACCCAAAGTTCTGAAGTATATGTTGGGGGCGGAAAAGAAAAACAAAATGTTTAATCAGTGTCTAAACTACACAGAGTACAAATGACAGGGGTTAAACTTACAGAATTTATTTATCTGTAACCCACTCAAACAGGACATTCTTCCACACAGTTATAAAAGCTATTTAGCTAATTATGAACAAAATCGGTTTGGTTTTCAAGTTAAAAACAGAGTTAAGATTTTGGGAGTACATGAACAAAGCCATTCATTATCCATTCACATTGGATCTGCAAGATTGAACAGTTCAACCAGTAGGCAGTGATTTCACTGCTTCACTTATGTTCATTAAATTCCATAAACAATACAATTTTACTGTAACTGTAATTACAGTTAAACAAATTTGAATCACAAGAAGTTGATTTTTTTCTCTTAACAGCTATGTTAATAGCCTCTTAACACTTTGTTCAACAGCCTTTTTGCTAAATCAGGCCAAACGTGATATTCAGGTTAGGTTGAAATGCTTTTACTTTCAAAATCTACCAAAATCCCCACTGTAATGTAAATAACATTGTTACATGATGGCAATTGTGATCAAGACAAAGCAGTCATTATGAGTTTTTGCTTATTTGAGTTCCGACTGAATAAAACTGCTACACATAGGTTTGATACCAAGGGAGCATGACTGTACCTTTTCCCAGTTCTACATTCAGACTGATATGCAGCAGAAAGGAAATTTATAATCAGAAGAAAATCTACAAATGACATCTCTGGTAGATAGTTGGCTTGTTCCAATATAGTGGCCGGTGCTATGCTAATTACTCTAGATGCTGTAGTCTAGCAAACTCTTAAAGTTGATACACTAGCATTCCTCCATTTGGATCAGGAATATTTTGTTTGTAGAGGTTGAACAAATTTAAAGGAATACAGAAATTAGAATAGAATGAATAAGAATGCATTTAGAAATTCCAAGTAATGATTCAAGAGAAATTGTCATTTGGCGACTGATAAAATGCAGTCGGTTAAACCACACAATGACACAAATGCTTTGTTTCTTTTCTATCAGTAGCTAACTGAAATGTCAAAGACAACTTGTTCCTTACCTCTGTACGAGGGAGATAGTCAGGATCAGCTTGTACACGGGCTATAATCTCACACAGGATAATGCCAAATGAAAACACATCCGCCTGCCATAAAATTAGAAATCAGCATTAGCAGACACAAAACCTCACAGAACACTATAATTAATTATGTCGCTAAAGTTATTTATATTCTAAAAGAACATTTTTATTGAACATTCAGTTTTAATGCAAAACCAACAAAACCAAATTGTTTAAAAGATGTTCATCCCAACTTTCATATTCAACTGGATCTGTACCAATTACTTAATAAGCCATAAGTATAGAAATCATAAGCTGCTTTACAACTAGACAAAATGGTAGCACGTTAATATATTCCATGCCCTAATATTACATTTAAAAGTTGCAAAAAGCTGCAGCCCTTTCTCCAGGAAATGCATAGAGCTAAAAAGAAGGTTAAAAACAATAAAATATATTTAGCATAGGCTCCACAAAACACCAGGCTTGTAATGAAACTAAAACTACTATAGATGTGAAACCTACATGTTAAAAATATCTTTCATTTATAACCTTCGAGTTCAGAAGCTATGGTGGTTTTAACAGTTCCAGACATATTCAGGGTTGAATTTAAAAGTGGAAACGAATACATCTGTAAATTCAACAATTTCAATTAAATTTCTTCTTTTTTTAAAACTATGAAGCAGTTCTGCTGCAGATCGTCAGATCCCAATTTATACAATATGAAATGCCTACCGTTTCATTATAATGCTCACTGTGTAGCATCTCTGGAGCCATCCAAAAAGGTGATCCGACCACTGACAGCTTTTCTATGTCCACACTGACAGCACCAAAGAAAGAAAATGCAATAACAATATTATACAACATAATCAGCCACTCCAATGCACCACCAAAATAACTCGAGATAAGTTTGTTCATTTGCTGTTATAGCTACTAAAATAAGAACAAATACCAGAGACCAGTCCTTTAGAACAGATACCGGGGAGAATTTGAAAGATTTAATTTCAGCAAGTCATTTTCAAGCACATGGAGCACTGCTAGGGCAACGTTGAACTAGAATATTACTGCCTTAAACCTACTATTTCTAAAAAAGTATGATTTGTTTCATTGATGCTAAGGCTAAAGTTGTGAAAAATATCCACAAGTAATTGATAACGAAATGGATACTAATTACAAGCTGCAATATAATTGAGAGAATTCATAACAAAGTTTCACTACTATAACACACTTGAATGTACTACATAGAAATGCAGCAAACTCAGGATTTTATTGGATATACACAATTCCAGTTAAGTGGTATATAAGCATTATATACAGTCTAAGTACCCACATAACTGAAATTTTCTATGAAACAGTGTTAGTGATGTTCAGCACACAATTCTCTCCACACAGGGATATCAACCAATCCAAGATCATGATGGCAATTTTATTGAGAAAGGACTTGCAGTTGACTTACAAGTAATTTCCATATCCAGTATACATTATTGATCCGAACTGCTGATTATGAACCGCAGATAATCACTTTGCAAACTTGCAGCAATTACATCACCAGCCACACTTCTTCTCCAAGAAGCGATGTTGGTTATGTTAATCACAACAAAGGCAACTAAAAGCACTCTGACTTCAGAATAGTTTTTTTTTTAAAAAACACAGCTCAGCGTTATGGCCTGTTATAGGCTCACTGCTGTGAATTTACGTAGTTGTCTGAACCTTTAGGTGTGATTATTGCCTCGGTAACCATTAGCTTCTATTTATTCTACTAACAGCCTAAAATAACTCACACATGTAAAACAGTTAAAAGGTCACGAAGCATGCAGCTATTGGATTAATTTCAAGATGTGCTTAAGGTTCTGGCAGAAAACACACATTTATAGAATAAATAGATCTCTGCAGTGATGGACATTCTTTTCAGAGGATCTTTCGCATTGTACAAAAGGCTATTATAACTCAACAAGCATAGTCTTTTATACTCAAAGAACTGCCATAAACTTGCCAATATCAACAAAATAGTTTTTCGCTGAACTCCCTCCAATTGACTTTTTTCAGTGGGAAAGCTATTGGCACAACACTTCAGTTCTGGCTGCTACTGCATTATGTTTAATGTTTTAGGTTCAAAACAATATTATTAAAATGTGCAAGTTCCATGTGAATTTTATTAAGAAAAAACAAAACATCACAATGAAGCTATCAGTAACATAGACTTAAAAAGAACTGAGCAGTTCTGTTCAGAGGTTATTGTAAACATGCACAATGAGTGAAACAGTTTAGCAAAATACCATAGTTATCAGTTAATACATGAAAAAGTAAGAATGCTGTATATTACTAATGTAACTGACAATATTTCCAAAAGGAAGGTGTAGTTTTATGCCAAAATACATAAAAAGGAAACTAATTTTACCTGAGATCAGGAATTTTCTCAGCCAGGCCAAAGTCACCCACCACTGCAGTATATCCATTCTCCTCTTTTTTAATTAAACAGTTCTATGGGGGGGAAAAAACAATAAAAACCCTTTACAATTATTGTAGGTACAACTCAATCTTTCTACTTCTACTTATTGAATCCAAACTTTCAGAATTTTATAACTGGAATATATTCAAATACATTTTTTAAAAAATCAATGAAATAATAATAATAATAAAAAAAAAGGTTTAGTGGCTGGATTAGCATTTTTCCCAAACCCATACTACAATATTACTATGCAATGCTAAGGTAATCCGGAGTTGTGTTGTCATAGCTCCAGCAATACTATAATGCTGGTCATTTTGTTTTGGTCAGTCGGGTGTCTGACACATGCGGAAACGCACCACCATGCTTTAGACTATCCAAACCAAGCTGAGATTTCCATGCATCCTACCTACACCTGTTGGTCGTGAATCATAAACCTGCATCCAAGAGCAACCAAGGAAGAACACAATAATTTTAATGAAAAAGTAATTAATCTTGTTGATTATTCTCAGCATCAGCTCATTTCTTCTACCATGTACCTCATTCCCTTCCTTTTACCAAATTATATTCAATTTCCTCTTGAACCCATTTATATCATCTCCTTCAACGATTTTCCTCTGTAGACCATTTTGGATGCCAATTACTTGTGGCCTTTGGTGTTTCGAAAAATCCAATTAAAACGAACCCTGCCATCACCCTTTATTAAGCAACATGCGTAATCATATAATTGCATTGCTACGTGCATTTTCATATTGCTCATGTTTACAGTATTAAAAAATCATATCCCCACCATTATGCTTCACTGACATCTTAATGGCAACACTGAACCTAGTAATGTTTGCAAAACAGCAAATACTATGTCATCCCAACATTATGCGTCATTCGCAAATGTTTACTGTTAAATTTGTAACAAAGCACTTATATTGATAGATCTTGCACCTTGGAAGTCAAGTCCCGATGAAAGACGCCCTTCAAGTGCAGGTAACTCAGCCCGGATGCAAGGTCGTGGGCTATTTTGACTCTGGCAGTCCAGGGCAGGTGTTGGCTGCTGTCCAATAACTGTTCGAGGTTCCCTCCATTAATGTACTGAGAATAAAGCATAGAATACAGAGAATTAGAATGACAGTACTTCAGAAGACCTCACACTAGGATTTGTACTCCAGTCAAAAATAAACTCAATGTCGTATGATCCCTGAAAAGCTGGTATTGACAAAAGAGTTGTTATAAAATTATCAAAATTTGATTTGGAGCAGCTATAAATATTATGGTACAAAATAGTTTGTTTGAAAATTCGCAATTTCTAAAAAAAAAAAGTTCTCTTGCTTAGGCCTCACCTCCTCCTTTTGCTTCAAAGCATACAGATTCAAAAAACTATTCTAGTAAGTCACCAACAGAAAGACCCAAAACATTACAAACTATTCTTCCAGTTGTTGCATTTCCAGCATTATTAGCCCAGGAATGCATTTTCATATTTGCCCTTGTGTGCCAAGGAAACCCACCTGTCACATTTTCCCCATGTTTGATATGTGGCTATATTCCAATGGCTTTCCCAAACAGCACAGGTGAAATTTTAAAAAAAGCAGCTAACTGTATGTGCAAATTTCACTTTATCACTTTTGCCAGGGGAGGTTACTGTAAGAAGACTGAACCAATTTGCATATAACATGTTGGTGGCAACAGACTACACGTCTCCTAAACCAGAAACATGCCACACATCAAAACATGACACATGCATGAACATGCTTAATTATTCTGGTATGCTTATTGGGAGAAATCAGGTACAGGATCAAAGTGGTCCAATTGTTTTTCCAAATATTCTAAATTGTTCTACTTCCCTAGGTTTGAACATCAATAGAATGGCAACCAAAGCTCTCATTAAAAATCCAGATAAGTAAAGTTATAGGCTGCAAGCCTGAAATACCATATCCAACAGAAAACCCTCACACAAATTACTGATAAAAATGGACATGCCATTTCTAGGCATATACGCAAATGATGTTGCAAATAAAACCCACAGATAACGGATACAGCACAATGAACAATGGCATGTGTTTTCTTTTTTAAAAAATTGGATGATAGCTACAAAATTATGTAAATATACCTCAACATATTGTCACCAGCAAGAGAGTTGAACAAGTTGGATTCTGAGAAACATCATGATATTATTAAAAGAGAAGCAAGTTTACCTAAATGTAAAGTCTTCCTCATTCTTCAAATTAAACCCTGGTAATCAATAGAGGAAATTACTATAGATATATCCCCTTATTGCTTGACATCAATGATGTCACCAATGTGATTCTGCCTTCCTGCGCTGTATTAATACACCTCTCTGGAGTGATGCATCATTCTTTTCCAAAAGAGGCAGAAAAACATAATATTCAATAAAGAACATAATGCAACAAAATGTTGTTATCACTACACAACAAACCTCTAGATATAGCCAGAGGATTTTGATAAATCTTGGCAGATGGAGGATACCTCATTAGGTAATCTTTCTTTCTCATTTGGCATTCTTTAAACACTGCCTCAATAATTTAGAACATCTAGGTGGACCACAGTCTGGAAGGAGAAAAACTGGCTTAACCAGCAACTAAAGTTACCAAGTGTATAACTTTAGATGTTCCACTAATGGCCTTTTTCAGAAGTTTCAACTAAGGTCACCAAAAAAAAACTTAGCCCTTAATAGCATTTCCATATCATATATTGCAAGTCAATACATCTCTGGCCAAAAATGCTAGAAGATGGCACACCCAGATTTGGAGCATTGCATTTTAATCCTACAATGAGGTCCTCTAGAGATATTTCATCAGAGAAGTATCCTTAATAACTGACAAACTTTAGAAAACCTTTTGTTGCGAGAGCCTGGCCTGGTGTCCTCATGCCCTTTCAACTCACCAGTGGCAAGTGAATCCTACCTAGGAGACAAAGTGTTCTCTATAGATTATTCACTTGATCTTTATCAATACCATAATAAAATTTGGAACACCTTGTAAATGTTCCTTGTTCTAAAATTAAAATGTAGAAATAGAATTTGTTTTACTCAGAAACAGAATACTGCCCAAAACTGATTTAAGAAGTTGATCTGTTAGAAATTTTGAAAAATACAGAAATATCAGCTTAGCAGACTTATTAAATATTGCTGGGAGATAGGATTATAAAGCACTACTGCATTTCATTATAAGTTTTAATTTATGACAAAGTATTATGAAAGCAGACATATCCAGTTACATTTTATACTTTCTTAATCTAATTTCACAGTCAATCACATTTTAACAATGAACTCCACAAGTGCAAAATCCACTCATCACAACTGCGAGAGTAAACCTTGTCCATTGAACCTTACGCATAGGGTGACCAAAAAGTTGTGATACCATTTATTTTAATAATAATTACTTTATTTCTTCATTTCTGTAAGACCTATTAGACATTGTAATGGTATCACAACTTTTTCATCGTGTACATTCATCTACAAAATACACAGCACTTTACAATAAATCCATTGAAGTACTTTGAGACATCCGCCTGATGTGAAAGACATCAAATGGAAGAATTAATATATCCTTATTATACTTGTGAGGGGGAGCATATCCCAATTTGATATTGAGGTAGTATGTAGGCATAGCATATCTAGACTTTGAAAGGGCTTGAGATATGAGAAATTATTTTACAAACTGATGTCACATGTTATCAAGAATAAGACACTAACTAGTAATTGGCCAAGGAAAGAAAGAAGAAAATAGACATTAGGAGAGTTCGGTCAAGATGAAGGTACCAGGTCAGATGCTTTCTGTTCTGAGTATACACAATTGACCTAGATTTGCAGGCTCAACGCAAGGCTGCTAAATTAATAGATGATGCAACTATAGAAAAATAAGTGGTATCCAAAATACTATAAAGAGACCTCTACAGAGTTTGTATCTGGATTGATCACTGGCATTGAAGTTCTGTGTAAAGTTAAGCGACATGTACACCAAAGGCAGGACAGAACTTGCCAAATAAGGCATTGAAAGAGGCCTAGGAGTGTTCGTTGACTTTCTGCTCACATGTCCAAACAGTGTTAGGCAGCAATAAACAAGCCAAACAGGATGCTGGACTCCAGTGCCAAATCAGTTAAGATCCCCCGAACTACTCCACAAGCTGTACAGTGTTCTTCTGATTAGGCCACACCCAAAATTCTTCCTACAACTCTGGTCACTGTGACATAAAGAGGCTGCCCAAGTCCTAGAGGCAGTTGAGAAGAAAGCAACAAGTGTGAGAAGATCCTCTGCCTTAATAGCTATCTTGGAGGAGAAGTTCTAGAAGTATATAAATACTACACGTGTTTGAAGAAGTACATTCTGAACTTTTGATCTCTTCTGATATTTTTGGACAACTCACAGATACCATAAAGCAGCAGAAGAGGATCACACATTCAGGATTGTGAAGGACAATTTTAAAACAAATGTCACAAAATAGTTCTTTACACAGAACATCTGCAATAGGTTACAAGTAAGGTAGATGCCAGACTAACCGGGTTTATTTAGGAAAACTTCCTGATTCTCTAAGGTGGCTTGTCTGGAAGGATGAGGTCAAATGGGTCCAAGGATCTTCACCCATACCTCATTTGCTATAGAATGACCATATGGAGTCCTGTAGCTCAGTGGTTAGAGCACTCGCTTTGCAAGTGAGAGACCCGAGTTCAATTCCAGGCAGGGAGAAACCTTGGGCAAGTTTCCTTACTCCATATCTCAATTATTCGCAAAAAAAATTGAAATTGGATCTGCATTTAAATCATATTGTTGCAAAAATCAATCACAGGGAAAATAAAGTACAATATATGAAAAATAGAAACATTTGAAGATTAAGGATCCTCTCAAGGTTGTTCTACAACATTCAGTTGCTGAGATGGCTTCTGACAATTCTGGAACAGCCACTAACTAAATGGTGTGCCAGAGCAGCCAAAAGTGATTCCTTCCCATTGTCAATGTGATTTCTTTTGTACTCCTTCAGACACAACTGAGATCCAAACAGGTGCAATAGCACATGAAGTCCTAGTCCTACAACGTGTGGAGTCCTGTAGCTCAGTGGTTAGAGCACTCGCTTTGTAAGCGAGAGACCCGCGTTTAATTCCAGGCAGAGGGCGAAACCTTGGGCAAATTTCTTTACTCCACACACCTAATAATAATCCCTCCAAAACCAAAAACAATAATAAATTTGTCATTTTCAATCCACGACTGTTTGTGGGACATTGCTGTGCGCAATTGGCTGCCGCGTTCGCCCACAAATATACAGTCAATTCACTTTACAGTATATTCTGTGAAGCGCTTTGGGACGTCCAGAAGACATGAAAAGCGCTATATCAAATGCGAGGATTATTATTATTAATAACAATGTGAAACACCATAGTAAAGGCAAGTATCAGAGATGTATTGTGGGATGATGTGGGGTGAATTGCTAAATTAATATGGATAAATGTAAGATAACACACTGAGAACAAAATCTGGAAAACATGCACATAATAACTGGCGATCCACTTAAATAGAGAAAGGATCCGATCTGATTATTGACAAATCATTGGACGTATCCAGTCATGGCTGATAATAATGAGATTAATCAAGGATACTTCTAGAGATTGTTTGAGTCAAAACAATCTAATCTTATATAAAACTCAGTTAAGGCCACCTTAGACAAAAGAAAAGAACTCTGCTCATATGGACGAAAGTATGAAAGCTTTCCCCTCCTATTTTTTAATAAAATAGGGGAAGAGGAAAATGAGCAATAACAATACCCATCTTTTATTTCTGTCAAGTGGATTTTCTTCTCCCCAGTACCCTAGATTTCATTTCAATCTTCCATATAACTAGGGCTTCTGATTTTAGGTTTGAACTGAAACGCCCTGATAAAACACCCTCGAAGAAAATAAAAAACAGTGGTTATCCAATAAACAATACAAAATCACATAAATGGTTATCTGTCCTGACGTGCCTTACTTAAGTATGAGGACCCCTCTCACCTCTGTGGGCAGACACATCCAAGTCTTCCATTAAAAGTGAAAAAAAAAAATTAAAAATAAACTCCACAAAAAAGCCCTACAGAATGCCATGCCTGAGGAAAGCTATGAATTATAGTGACAATTTCAGACATCAAGGTGGCATTTCACATCAATGCAATTCGTAGAATTTAATTAATGCAATATACAAGGTCATAAACTGTTACAATGTTGGTCGTGCCAAGTTATAAACAGGAAAATTGATAAAAGTAACACTTGTCACAGTCCAAAAGTCAGATTACTCATTCACCCATGTTGACTATTATTTCCGAACTGATATTTTTAGATAGATTAGCAAAACCCAGCTGCAACATCTCTAAAGAGGAATCAGTACTTCACTCTATCCTTTTTAAAATCTTAGTGCTCACATCCCATTATCTTCAGACATCAACAACATAATGCTTCTCAATGAACTGTGTGACAAAACCTACGGATGTGTTCAAGTTTTCTTGAACAGTCAGTGAAATCTTATCAACAAATTTGAGGTGTGGGTAAAAGGGGAACAACAACTTGCATTTATATAACTCCATTCACGCCGGATGGAAGAAAGGAACAGTACTTTATATGCATCTTTTGTTGAATCTAGATAATTAAAGAACTAGTCTATTTATTTAAACTTGTGCTGACTAAATGAAATGCGACAAAACTACCACAATATGGATAGAACTAGAAGGGAGCATTCGTTGGAATACAAAACCTTGTGCTGATGCTCTGTGTATTAGCATCCCTGTAGGTATGCCATTGGTATGGCATTTCAGCTCAGAGGTTTTGTGTTGCTAGAAGCAGGAACAGAAATACAACACCAAAAATCACTCCTTGACTGGAGCATCCAATGCCAATTTGTTTCCATTTCTTCAATAATTTGTGGGCACCACAGCATTATCAGCTTACAGTTTGTAATCCAACTTCCATTCTATGTCACGGTGAAGATTACAGCTACAGACAAACATTTTAATGAGAGAAATCTTGGGAGTAGAAACAAATGAAAAGAACAAGTATATTAAGTAATTCATCCACAAATTTCATAAATCAGCACATATCCCTTACTTCCTTACTTGGTAGGGTCATCCTAACCAGACAAGCAGTGAGAAGCTTCCCAAATAGGGCTCTCCGTTGGAAGCTATACAGTCCCTAAACACTGGCTCTTGCCAACCTGTGCCTAATACGCTCTGGAATTAGATAAACGTGGTGCATCCTTTCAGAGAGAGAGAGCATATTCAATTCCAGACACAGGGAAATTTACAAGTGTGTATGGCATACAAGTGTGGAACTTCCAGTGTGGGTTGAATACTCTTAAGCATGGGATGGATTTTCATACGTGCCAGACACCCAGGACCTGCAGGTAAGGGAGAGTGGAAGGAGCTTTACTTGCATTTATCCCACACTAGCAAAACTGATCTGTTCACAATCTCCCCTAATTATCTTCTCTTTTCAAAGTTTGGGATGACTCCTCCTCAATCAATCCTTCCTTCAAACATGAAAGGTTCTCCAGCAGCACTTCCTGCAATAAAGGTTGTAAATTCATTGGGTAGTGAACAGGGCTTATACAAAGTCACATCCTACCATTTTGTGGTGTTCCAATGTTCTGCAATTTTGCTTCCCTCAAAGCCTGACAACTAAGAACTGCATTAATGCAACCCATCAATCCCAGAAATTATACTCATCAAGATTAAATTACAATAGATACTTGCATCAGAAGCAACTTTCTTTCCTGACCCCAACACAATCCAGAATCATCACTGCTCATTCCAAAACATCAATTAAATTATTCTAAAATGAATCAGGACAGAGATAGTGTGTTTTTCCGATGCTGGAAAAATATTGAATACAACTATAAGGCAACATTTAGATAAAAATGACACATTTAAACACAAGTTGTGACATCTAAAGTTGCAGAATTATATCTTAATAATGCTGCGGAAACTATAGGAATGATACCGTCCTTTGGTTCCAATTACAATCTTTCTATGCTCCCTTAAATCACCTGTGTCAGCTTCACGGCTTCTTTGTGCTCGTTATAGCTGTATGTACTCCCACCCCTCTAATCTTAAAAGAAAACAAGTATAAATACTACTTATTAACTGTTGCAATAATTTTAGATTATGCTCATTTTAGTCAATGATAAAATGGCAATTAGTTGGAAGCAGAAATTGAACTCCTACATATTGATAATATTCCAGGCAGGGCACAACCAAAAATAATATAAAACAATCTTTTTGCTATAAACATTGTGGCACTTTTTCAGAAAGTTGACAGTGTAGTCCACTTGCAATACTTGCGCAGGAAGTTTACTTGGAATTGATGGCATGGTTTGATAAAGGGCCTCAAGCAAGGGAAGAAAACACATTTGGAAAGATGATCCAGTAAAGCTGCAAATACTTTCAATTTAACTTGTATTTCTGTGAAAAAGTACATCTCCCAGCATGTGGAAATTGCTGCATACCTACAAGATTGTGAGATTACCAAAAGTAAGTTTGTCTTGGATTATCTCAAAAGCATATTTTGTTTCTGTTACTCAGTACAGTACCTTATTAAAAGTATATTTGTAGTGTCCAGTGTTTGGTGCCTCCAGATTTTATAAATATTTTTGGGTTGAAATGATCCGAAAAAATTCTAAAAAAGATTAAAATCTTCACATACCTTTTATCTGAATCCAATGCCTCAAGAGGCACAGCAAACCAAGATTACAGATAAACCTCAACATAAAAATTGGCTGCACACGCAATTTTCAATAATAAGCAAATTATCTACGTAGAACCAGGAATCAGCACAGTAGGAAAAAAAATACTCAGTATATACTAAACTACTGGATGAGGACTCAGATGTGATCTCTAGAAAATCAATGACAGAGTTTGATTAATTCTAGATACTGATACTATGAACACTTTTCACAAAGCATTTCAGATGTTGCCTGATGACCAGTATCTAGGAGGCAACCTGAAGCATGGAGCATGCAAGTCCAATACACTATACAGTACTGCCAGATTGATAAGAGTGATATAATGAAATATGTGAATGCTATTTCCCATACGAGTTTCTAATCACAGCAGGGGCATTGTGGCAGGCTAAGTGGATACCAAACCCTTCCGCGCAAAAGGGAAGAACTAAAGTTAAAAAAACATTTTCTGAAATCACACCCAAATGCAAATTACTTCAATTAGAACAGTTGCTATATTGGGAGGGGAACACACACTCTACAAACTGCTGTAGTGTACAACATGCTTCCCTAAATTTTCAAAAAAAACTTTCAAAAAAATTAGCACCAAACATTTTGTGAGGATGATAGCCTGGTCACAAACACGGTCTCCAGCATGAGTGCACGTTTCACAGTTTTATTCAACACATACACAATGCCATAGAAGCAGATGTATTTACTAAAGGAACATTTCAACTGCAATATCAACAACCCTGTATCAGCTAGAATTGAATAGGGATCTAGACAGAGAACAATTCTTACAGTTGATTCTGTACGACATGTCAACATTGGAAACCTTTTTTTAAAAAAACAGGACAGGAAATGAACAGAGCCAGGCTTCCTGTTGTGGCAACCCAGGGTTGGAAGAGTTGCTAAAGTAACAAATGAGCTGGAGGCAATTTGCTGTTCAACTGTATCATAGAGAGAGTAAAAAATACTAAAAAACATGCAAGTAGGAACTGGTTGGAGAACAAGACTCAAAATATATCGGGTGTATGGTCAGCAATCAAACAATTTTAAAAGCTTCTAAATCCCATCTGTGTATAAGATGCATCATACACTCAGAAAAAATGCAAGACCTTGTTTGATTCACAGGCATCATTTTTGAGATTAGCTGTTACTAAATCGCTAGAAAGTAGGCCCAGAAGCTGACAGAAGAAATTGATGAGATTAATCATAGTGGTCTGTTTTTACATATAAAAATTACTGTCTGCTCAACTGTTTTTATTTTCTTAACATAAATCACACCTTTGAATTTTGGATTGCTTTCAATTCGATTAATTTATCATGCTTTGCAAAACATTTATGGGAATATAAAAGTAAGAGCACCCACTTCCATTTCAGAGAATAGGACTTTTTTCCACAGATGAATTAGTTGCACATTTCTTGTTTTTAAATAATTTTCTAAATTTTAGAGGCTTAATTTATGTACTGGTACAACTGAGATCTTGCCAGTTAACACAATAGTGGTGGATGGGTTTAATGCGTTAAGATTTTATGGCACATTCTGCTCTTGAATTTTCATCCTTTTACGGTTCTTAAAAATAAAATCCTTTAAAATTGGTCACGTGCACATGATCATAACTAATGCAATTAGCTGCCTTTGTAGCTAGTTTGTCTGCCTTTGTAAATACTTTCATTTTTCCTAGTGATTTTCCATAATAGTAGTTGAGCATTTGATTACTGCTTTCAGCAATAAAATGTCTTTTGATGCGTGTAACAGAAATGCATGTGAATTTAGTATTGAAAATGCTTAGGTGGCACTATCAAATGCCTTTATTTTGATACCATGTAATAAAATGAAGTTGTATAATAATGTCCTAGAAATCAGTTTGGAAGAAGGATATATTGAGAAGGAACACAGAACACAGATCTAAAGAAAAAAACATACTTCATTGAGTGAAACTCAAAAGGTTCCAATGCCTAAGGCTCAAGAGCTTCAACAAAACAAGCCTAAATGTAAACAAAAACAGAAGTCGCTGGGAACACTCAGCAGTTTCAGGTCCATGACCCGAAACGTTGACTCAATTTTCCTTTCTCCGTAGATGCTGCCTTGATCTGCTGAGTGTTCCTAGCGACTTCTGTTTTTGTTTTCAGACTTCTAGCATCTACAGTATTTTGCGTTTTGTTTAAGCCTAAATTGTAAACTTGCTTCAAAGTTTCTGAAAAGTAAAGAACAACTTCTTCCAAATGAATACAGAACAAAATAGATTATAATGTACATCCAATTCTGGATGCAATCCAGAACTTACCTCAGTTAATGCATGTAGCTGGCCTTCATGGACACAAACACCCATAAATCTGTAAACCAAAGAAATCAATCATAAATATCACGTTGCATTCAATCGGTACAAAGACTAGACAAACTGTTCTTGTCAATTCTACATTTAAGGCTAAACAAAAGTATAAAATGTTTAATTATAAATCTTGTCACAGTGAAATATTGTAGTATGCATCATCTCTGGATGCTAACAATCTTGTAATTTACAGGGGTCACAATTCCCGCAATAAAGTTGTTGTATGCTACCAGGGAAAAATCCAGGGCACAATTCGCAATCATTCAATTTATCACAACACATACACTTCCACAGTAAAAAGCAGACTGTGGTTTAAAACACCAAAAGATGCCTCGCTAAAACTAAATTTTGTTAAACATTGTTAGCGCTTCTCTACTTAAGAGATTGGTGAGGAGAATTTGTAGGCATTTCGCTACCATTAGCATTTGATTGGGTTGTATAGATGCTCACATCGTCATCTCTACCGGTGAAAGAAAGGCTGGCAGAACCTATATATTTGCATGTGAACATCATCCTGTGTCGCAGCAAAATCCATTGTTAATGGGCTCTTGAACTACAAGTCAGCAAGACCTAGTATACTGAAACATACTAGAATATATTTTTCAACATTCGTCTCCCCAACAGTCACTTTAGCAACCTATTGAGTCCATCTGGAAAAATATAGAAATGCCAGAATCCGGATTAGTTAAAATGGTACTGAAAGAAGCATATGATCCCCAAAGACATTAAGTTATTTTACCAAATACATTTATTTATTTAGGAGGCAAGGCAGAGGAATATAGCGACAGAGTTCCAGAACGAAGCACTTGGCCGCCAATGGTGGGGCAGAGCGCGAGGAACTAACAGCAGCACCAAGTTTCCAGTGAGAGTGTCAGAGTGAAGCTGGGGAAGATCACAGAAGTGAGGAGAGCGAGATGTGTAGCATTTGTAGTTTTGAGTGAGGATGTTCACCCTCTCCCTCAACTCTTCTCTTCAACTGTGCCAATTAGCACTTCTCACATTCCCCACTCCTTGATGAGTGTTCAGCACCATCTCTAAAGCACTTAGACATTATCCTCGGCGAAAGACACCATATAAATGCAAGTAGTTATTCTTTTAGTTTCATTTACCACACCAAATCTGAAATCAAACAGCGAAAAGAGTATTGAGTGAGTTTATGGGCTCATAGCAAAGCATTTTTATGCTGAATATATTGTATTAGTCTTGAAGCTTCTAATAATTAATGTGCCCATATCATGAGGCACAGATATAACCAATGAAACTATGGTTTTAAATATAACTGCAAAATATAGCCTTAAGTCTCAAATTTAATGGAAAGCTCAGTAAACATTACTGTATACTAGCCAGATGCCAATCTAAAAGAAAATTATAGACAGTACAGAAATGGAATGAGGAATTCTCCACTTACATTACCATAGGTACTATATGATTGCAATTAAAAAACAGTAATGAACAGCAAAAGGGAAAAGACAGCAACGTTTGGGAGCAACTTAAGTTAGCTAGATGGCCAAATTAAAATTGTTGCCTGGAATCACTCTGATATCACATATAATTCAGTTTCAGAGTACAAATGATTAATGTTTTAGCGCTGGCAGAAGATGGAACTGCTTTGTGAAAACATTCACAGGAATAATAATTATGACCTACACTTCAGGGAAATTAGAGATGCCAATACATACTGCCCACCTAATGTCGAACCTCTAATGTCAAACCATAACCATGTTGATGCACACCTTCTTCATTCTCCCCACATAAAAAATAGCTGTTTAAAACCCACATATAGATGACACAAGTTGGTAAAACGTGCATCCACTTTTCTTAGCAACGCTATCAGTATCAGCCTCGGCTAGATTCAAAATTACACCCTGTTTAGTGCATCATGGCCACAGTTTCTAAAAAGGCTGTTAGAATTGCAACAGTATGAAAAGTGGGTGTGAGTATCAACTAGCATCAAGATCCATCAGTGGGTAGGGAGAGGTATATTTTCCAAGGGAAACAAAATTAAGCGTTGTTGAGTAACACCCAATACACGATGATTCAGCCTATACCAAATTAAATCTGTTCTCAAAGGGTCATAGAAAACCCATGTACATCAGCACACAGAAAGACTCTTGAGAGTACAATTCCGAAGACTTTATAACAACAAAATTACATTTATATAGCGCCTTTCACGTCGGGAGGACGTCCCAAGGCCCTGGACAGACAAGAGTTTTGGACCCGAGCTAAGGGTCGGTCTGGGGGAGGGCTGGGAGAGAAGCAGAGAGATTGAAAGCACGGTCGAAGAGGAGGGTCTTGAGGTTTGTCTTGAAGGTGGCGAGGAAGGTGTGTGATGGGAAGCCAGTGGAGTTGGGCGAGGATGGGGGTGATAGGGTCACGGAGCCTGGTGCAGGAGAGGACACGGGCTGCAGAGTTCTGGATGATCTGCAGTCTGTGGAGGGAGGAGTTGGGGAGGCCGACAAGCAGTGAGTTTGCATAGTCGAGCCTCGAGCTCCCAGTGTCGGAGCCGGGCAACGTTGCAGAGGTAGGGAAGGCAGAGCGGGTGATGGCGCGAATTGGGGTAGAAAGGATAGTTGAAGGTCGAACAAGACCCCAAGGTTCCGGACTGGCTTAGCGAGGTGGAGTGTGCAACCAGGGATGGTGATGATGATGCTGTCAGCGCCTGAGGTGAGGAGACGCTGATTGGAGCCAATCAGGAGCCTCGGTCTTGTTGACGTTCTACTGAAGAAAGTTGGCTCTCATCCAGGACTTAATGTCTGACAGACATTCTGTCAGCACAGCAGCGGGTCCTGGAGTCAAGGGTGGAGACAGAGAGGTAGAGTTGGGTGTCATCCACATACATGTGGAAATTGACCCCATGTCTGCGGATGATGTCACCAAGAGGGAGCATATAGATGTTGAAGAGGAGAGGACTAAGGACAGAGCCCTGAGGAACGCCGCACGAGACGGTCCGGGGGCTGGAGGAGAAGCCATTTGAGGAGATGAAGTGCAGGCGGTGTGAGAGGTATGATCTGAACCAATTAAGGACAGCGCTGTGGAGGTTGAGGTGAGAGGAGAGGTGGTGGATGAGTTGTCGACGATGTCGAAAGCATCGTCAAGGAGGTCAAGGAGACGAGGAGGCAGAGGGACCCCTGGTCGCAGATGGACAGAATGTCATTTGTCACTTTGACCAAGGCGGTTTCTGTGCTGTGGGCGGCACGGAAGCCCGATTGAAGGGGTTCGAGAAGGGAGTGACGGGAGAGGAAGGAGCGAAGCTGAAAAGCAACAATTCATTCCAGGACTTTGGAGGGGAAGGGGAGCTTGGAGATGGGGCTGTAGTTAGGGAATAGAGAAGGCTCCAGGGAGGGTTTTTTGTTTTTGGAAGGATAGGAATGATGACAGAGGTTTTTAAAGGAGTGGGAACAGTACCAGAGGCCAGGGAGAGGTCAACAATGTCAGTGAGTAGAGGGGCAAGGAGGTGGAACTGGGAGGTAAGGAGGAGGGTAGGGATGGGATCCAGGGAGCAGGTGGTGGGTTTCATACGGTTTATGGTGGTGATGAGAGAGGAGGGGGAGACAGGTTCAAAGGTGTGGAGGGAGGGGTGGGTAGGGGCTGGAGTGGAAGGAGGAGATGGGGAGGGAGTAGTAGTTGCAGCTGAGCAGATTCCCTCGACTTTGGATTCGAGGAAGTCCAACATCGCCTCGCAGTGGGCATCTGAGGCGAGGATGGGTGAGGCGTGAGAGGGTGGGCGGAGGAGTTGGTTCGTGATGGAGAAGAGAAGCCTAGGGTTGTCCTTAGCCACCAAGATTGTCTTGGAGTGGAACAACGATTTAGCAGAGGCAAGGGCAGAGCGGCAGGATTCAACATGGTCCAGCCAAATCTGCCGGTGGACAGTTAGATTTGATTTAAGCCAGGTGCGCTCAGTGGAACTCACGTAGGCTTTAAGGGAGCAGAGGTGGCTGGTGTACCAGGGTTATTTGCGTGATTAGGAGACAGTTCGGGAAGAGACGGGAGCAAGGGAATCAAGAGTGGAGGAGAGGGAGCTGTGGAGAAGGGTGACTGAAGAGGATAGGTCAGTTATAGCATGGAAATAGCCTGATAAACACATTGGAACTGCATCGAAAAGAAAGATGAATTTCAGTACATCTCCAAAGGTTTCAGCCAGCCAAAAAAAAAATTCCCTCTGAAAAAAAACTACCCACAGTATGTATTGGCATCATTGAGCTGGATTATAATTCGCTAGTTTTCAGAATGTTCCTCTTTCTCTCTACCTGAAGATCAGACAGGATTTGATGATCAATTCTCAAATCCACTCAATTTGTAGCTGAACTAAAGAATATGGATCCAGGTTGTGTATTAAACATCAAAAGGACACTCTTGACATGACATGTTTTAGTGACAGACATCGATTTGTCTAATCAGCAGAGGAAATCTGAATTTCAGCCACTAAATGTAATTTTCTACAACTCACCAGAGACACAAATTGCAGATACTGTAAAATCTACTCTTGAGTCAACAGCTGAATATCAAAAGCTGTAATATTGACAATTAAGCTAAAAACCTCAGCTGAACATCCAAAATGTGATGTGTCCGGTTACTCAGATCATCAACAAATTCCTCATAATGCAAGAACCAGTTCCTCTTCTCAGCTATGATCACATCAGTTCCAAAAGAAATTGAATTTTCTACAGGACATTAAACCCTACCAAAAAAATGTAAAACTTCCTTATATACAACAAGATTTAATTTATAGAGCGCCTTTCACGTCGGGAGGACATCCCAAGGCGTTGGACAATTGGGTCGGGACTCAAGCAGGGGGGAAATGGTCAGGGTGAGGGGAGGGAAGGGAGGTAAGCGAGGAGGGGGTAGAGAGTTGAGAGGGGAGCTGAAGGCACGGTCAAAGAGAAAGGTCTTGAGACCAGCCTTGAAGGAGGAAAGGGAGGAAGCGGCGAAGGCACTGGGGATGGAGTTCCAGAGCCATATATAACACAATGCTGAGAATGTTTCCATGAAACTGATGTGCTGGCC